ATTTTGACATTTTAGAATAACAAGATATGATGATATTGTGATTTTCACTTCTTTGCAGTGCTTAAAAAAGACTATAGTCAAGTCTATTCTTTCCTGGCCAATTGATAAAGTAAGATATTTTAATCAATTATCACTATGAAGGACCTCAATTTCCTATCAAAACACAATCCCTTTGGCCCTGTTCCCACCAAAACAAAAGAAACTACATGCTTGTCATCTGGCATATCCTATGGCATGAATTGGCCCTTTTATATTACCATCGTAAGGGAGAACAGAATAGTTGCTTGTCCTCACATACTCAATCCAAGTTCAAGTTGGGCAGCTATATACATGTTTTAAATAAACAAATAAATATCATGTTAGGGAGCCTACCAAATGAGAAGTTTGCAGAAAATTTCCTTGCAGAACTGGATTGGAACATTTTCAAATGCTTAGATAAGGTTCCAATCCACATTTTCAGGCAAGGTCAATGCTTGCAAATGGTAATTTGCACAAAATTTTGCAATTTTCCTCAAGAAACATCTTGGACCAAGCACAGTGGTCATAATCAATCAAATCTCCAAGAGTTCTGAACCTACATCTATTCATGTTATATTTTTTAAGAATTTTAAGAATTTCCCAAATTTTTGAGAACTGAGACTCACTTTATTGTAACTTTTCCCCTGTTCCTGAGAAATTTAAAAGGATGAATCTTCCCTCTTGTATTACTGTTTGAATTACCAATGTGGACATGCTTCTTCATTGGAAGAAGGCAAATCCAAGGAGACAATTGACAGGACTCATTCTGCTTTGGTGGCACTGGGGTGAGGGACAGAGAACAGTCACTTGAAATGTAACATTTTGAAAAGGCACAAAAACCAGCAATGTGTAGTTCTAGAACAGAGGTGTCAAACTCATGTTGTCACGTTGTTGTCACATGATGTATCGTAACTTTTTTTCCCCTTAGCTAAAACGGGGGTAGGCGTTTGACACCCCTGTCCTAGAAGCTATTCCACGTAGAAATGTGCCTGGGATGGGAGGGGAGGGTAAGTGTCCTGGCAGAATCCAAACTATAGTTGTTTTAAGAAATGCTGAGGGTCAAAATAGATGTGACAGTTGAGCAGGGCTCTCTTGATTTGACATTCTTATCATTGTTTAGAGCTGAAATGAAACAATCTGAGTTTAATCCCAGTTTACTGTGTATAGCTAAATGGATATGTAGCTCTTCCCTCTGCAGAATCTGCTTGCTGAGAACTTTCCTGCAACCTATCCTGGGAAAAGAATCTTTGAAAAGGCCATTAGCAACTTCCCATGGTGACGGTGGGATAGCCTTCATTTAGGGAGAAAAGCTTTTGACCCAAGATATGAAATATCATCTGATCCTGTCCTCAGCTAGTATAGGAGATCTACTATGATCCAAAGTGGACTTCAGATTTTTGGTTTAAAATATCTACTTGAAAAAGACTTAGCACCTGCTGAGATGGGCTGGTTTTATGTTGAATAGCTGGTCCATGAAATGTGCCATCAATTCAGTATGGTGGGCTTTCTCCTACTAAGGGAAAAAGGGGCAACAAAATTCTTATAATCCACCTGGGTTTCCTTGGTTCTCAAACTCTTTAAAACAAAATACCTGCCAGCAAAAACCTGCTGTGCTATTGAGGTGCGACCTCCTAGCCATTTTCCTTACTGTACTGAAACATTACTAAGAGAATTTACTAAAAGAAATCTTATCTCATCACACACAACACTTAAAAAGAATGACCAAGTACCTATTGTGTGGGAGATAGAATTTCCCACCCCCCTTTTAAAAATTTAGCCATTGCAATTAACTTTTCTTCTTATGCCACTCTCTGAATTATTTCATCTGTTTGGTTTAGCATGGAGTTAGTTCCCATATACATCTAATTGTTCTGAAAAACTGAAAATAAATTTAAAAGCTGCTTCCTTGAATACAGAAATTTCCTGGTAGAGAATAGGGATGGGGGGGGGAGAGGAAATCACAGTTAAAATCACAGTTTTATGAATGATTGGCTTCTGGTTGATTGGTCACTCCACTTCTAAGGATGGTGTATTGTGTACCTAATATATAAAAAACCTGTAGCTTATATAATGGCTTTTGCAAATCTCTGCAAAGAAAAAAAAATCCATGGATTGGATTCCCTTTCAAAAAGAAAGTTTAATTTGTTTTGGAACTCAGAAGCTGGCATAATTCCTCTCCATTCATGCTGATGGGGAAAAATGTTTTAAAACGAAAGAAATAAAATGGGGGTGAGATGGAATAGATCAACCATAAATAAATCAAAAGTGTCCATTCTCACTTTTGGCAGGAGGACTCTGATACACTTATGAAACTTGTGATATTAGATCCGCCCTCACTCCCTGACCAAGAGCCACTTGCGGCATTTTGTTATGAGCTGTCACTATTACCAACACTGGTTTGCCACTTGTTGATAATGTGGCACAATTAGCCATCACATTCAAAACAGAAAATATAACCTTTGGAAGTGGGGGGGAGAGGGCAAAGTAATAAGTCTGGTCTATTTAGAGTACTACCTTAGCATACTATCATCATGTTTCTGTTATTTTTCCTTAAATCAAGAATGGCATGCTCTTGCATTTAGGCTGGTGCAGTCAGCATGATAGAAAGGCTTATAGCTCAAACTTCCAGGAACAAAAATATGGAAGTAAAGGGCTTGGATTTAATTGATGAAAACATGTCATTTCTTCACTCCCAGTAATTTTATAAGCATTAGCCATGAATTCACAATTCCCTGATTTGAAATCATAGCAAAATTTTAGCAGAATCCAAACATATCCCACATATCCACTTTTGCTCAAACTACTTCATGGGAAGGAACACGCTTGCATGTCTTCCAAGTGGCATCTTCCAGAAGCTGAAGAGTGTTGTTATACCCCTGAGTTGCGTGTAGTATTTTGGTGGTTCCAACATGGCACATTCCTTGATGGGATTAGTAAAGTGAGGCACATATGAAGACCTGCACAGGTAGAAGAAATGCTCTTTTTTTTCCCAGACAATGTTGGAAGAAGAGGAAAAGGTGCATCTGACAAGATATAAAAGAGCAGGAGGTCCTTCATGAAGATCTTTTTCCATAAGTGAAGCAGAGCAATGTGGTACCCCTTCAAGGGAGGGCTTCATTCCTGCCCTTGTCTATCCAGGAGGCAAAGGAAGACTTGGTAGATTAGGGTGTTGGTTATTTGCTGGCCAGGAAAAGGAAGAAGGTGCTGTTACCTTCTTTTCCACCCTATGGTGAGAATACTGACCCAGAAGCACAAAGATCAAGCTATGATTTGGGGCTAAGCCCCTCCAGACCTGTAACACAGAAGCAAGGGGGTTGTTTAAGGTCAGAGTACGAAGAGGAATGCAAGATAGTGCGTGGGGGAGGATAGGGGAGAGGATGGGGCTGTTGTGATGATTCCCTAGTCTGGTTAAAAGAGCCAGATGAATACCTCTTTCCTCATTCTCTTGGGAACTCACTAAATCCAAAGCAAAACCTGGAATCGGTGCTGTAGATCAGTGGTTTTTTAAGCCTTGAAGACTTTAACATGTGTGGACTTCAACTCCCAGAGTTCCCCAGAGAGTATGGTTGGCTGGTGAATTCTGGAAATTGAAGTCCATTTATCTTAAAGTTTCCAGGGGAGAAAAGTGCAGCTATAGATGAAAAATAGTGTTTTGAAACACTACTGGCAGTTGCATGGCATCATTAGAAGCTTAACTGTTGTCGTACTCAGAACTGTGCCACTGCTTCATAACAATTCAACCCAACAAAAGCAGTTTTTTATTATGAATACCAATATGGTGAGTGTTAGTTAACCCACTGTTTTCCCAGTGTAGGAGCAAAATAGACACTGCCCATTTTATATTTTGAAAAAACATACATGATTCCTCTTCTTACCACAGATCTTAGGCCAGACACAGGGGTTGGATTCAACCAGTTCAGACAAACCGGATCTAATTTTACATCTGGTTCACCAAACCGGTAGTTGCAAGGACTGGCTGGCCCTGCCCACCCTGCCCCTCCCCTCCCAGGAGTCTCCATGCGGCCTGTTTTGGGTGCCAGGTAAGTACAGGGTCTGCATGGAAGTTCTTAAAGTCTGGAAACAGGCCCATTTCCAGCCTCCAGCGGGCCTCTGGAGACCGGTGGAAGCCTTTTTCACCCTCCTAGAGGCTCGAGGAAAGCCTCTAGAGCCTGGGGAGGGCAAAAAGCCCCCCCACCACCATGGTGCAGGAGGCCAAGGAGGCCATGCCCACCATTGCCATGCCCACCAAGCAACCAGACAGAGAACCGGTTGCTAAAATTTTCTAGAAATTGTAAAGTTGCAAAATTAAACAAATGTAATGGAAACCCCATGAACCTTAAGTCTTTATTTTTAAAAAAATGAGGACCAGGTAGTAACCTGTTCTCACATCCTTTGAGTTAATATCCATTGCTAAACGAGGGCAAGAGTCCACAGAGGCTGCATTTCGCCCTCACCTGGATCTTAGGGTCTCTGTCTCCACTGCACCATCAAATTTTAACATTTCACTGGAATTTGGCCTTGCACCATTTAAAAGTGTGGGGGGGTGCGGTTCTTGCCAGATGGTGTGCTTGACTGGTTTTATCAGTGACTTTAGTTTTCTTTTTTCTTAGCCTTTCTCATTGTTACATCAAAACTGATTAACTGCAGCTTTGTCAGAAAAAAGCAAACTGAATTTGTACCAGATTACTTGCTCTGTTTATACAGAATTATTAACAAAAGCTATTGTGTACTGTAAATAAAATAGAAATATTCAAAAAAAAATTCTAACTCAAATTTGATTCAAAAAGCCAAATATTTCTCAGGATATAAAGAACACAGCTTATGGTCATCATATTTTCCATTATTATTATTTTATAACTAAGATGTTCCACAAGCCAGTTACCACTGGTGATACATTTAGGGATGAATTGGCTTATTTTAAAAATACACTTTCTGAAGTTAACGTTTAAATATACTTGATACAAAATTATCCAAGTCTTGGTTCCAGATTTTTATTTATTGATTCCATATCTCTCAATATAACTAGCATAAATCTCTTTAAAATTGAATCTTATTATTTTCTGGCAGAAGAATGAATTTTGAGTTACTAGTACAATTATAGAATGAACAATTGAAATATACTTTGGGAGAAGTTGAAGGATCTTATACAGTGAAAACTTGTTAATTTATGAAAAATAAAAGGAATAATTAATTTTCAATCCTTTCCAACATAAAGTTAAAAGGATTTATTTAAGCATCTAAATCCCTTAGGTTCTTCATAGGGCAGTGTCCTTTTAATACATATTGTATGCAGATATTGGGAAAAAATCAATATCTGCCGTTCTTCTTTAAAAAGAAATATATTTATTTTCTAAAATGAACCTTGGAAGATCTACCTTAAATACATGAATATTTTTATTATTGTTAATACATGAATACTTTTATTATGTTATGAAGATTTAGTTCATACTGAAAGGCACTTATTTACTGTATGATACAGTCCATGACTAACAATGGAAACATAAGTCATATTACCCCAATATAGAAAAGGAAGTGGTTTTTAGACGTTTTCTCCTCCAGAAACCTAACTTGGTAATATGTCAGTAATACAAACCTTTTAATTATATAAATATCTAGTGTTTAAAGCAATTAAATGTAGATGACAATCTCTTTTGCATCCCCAATACTCTGGCTCTTTTAAACTTTCAAGGAAGCTTAACACCATGAAATGGGAACAAATGCCAAGCAAGCAAGCAACCAAATCACATTCAAGAAAGTAATGCATAATACACAGAGAGCAGCAGAAAAGCACGGCTGTATGTCATATAGCATATACTGGGGCAAACTATCTTCCCCAAGTTTTGAATAAGGCCCTGAACATCAGAAAGGGGAATCTTCCTAAGATTCAAGAGCTTCACTTATTAATTAGAATGATAAAAATATAATCACCCTACATATAGACACATCAGAATGGTTCTAGTCAATCTTCTGATGATTCGAGTGATGCTTTTCTCTACTTTTAAGTAGGCTTTTATACACTCTGTTTCCACATGAACAATATAAATATTTTGGTCCCCACCTCATGAAGATCCCATTGGGTGAACTGCACCCAGTGAATGTACATAAACCAAAACAAAGTAGCCCAAACCTATTAGTGTCATTAAATGGGCCTTTTCTATTCTACAGAACTCAGACTAAATCTATGCAAAAGGATCATTATTGTTATTATTTTCATAATCATAGAATTATGCAGTTTAATTCTTTCCCTACTGGCCACTTTTCATTTCAAAATTGCAAATGAGCAGCATGTGCTTCATTGGTGGGGGGAGCCCCTAATTTCTAAATACCACATGTATTTTGGAATTTTAAAGAACACAGGAAATGTAAGTAAACATTTGTGAGTCTACATATACACTCCAGGAAGGTTCAACAGTTACACCAGGCCTTGTGCATCCATTTCAATTTAGAAGCAGATACATTCAAATATATCTCCTTTCAGATTCCTGAGAGTATTAGTTATACCTCAGGACTGCAACAATTCCTCAACATGGCAAACCCCTGATGTCTTTGAACTATAGATTCCACAGCTGAAATCTAAGAGTTAAAATTAAAATGCTCCTGAAGTCTCCAGGCTTTAGAAGGCTGTTTTATAATATAGTTCGATGCTTTATTATTCAGCACCATACCTACCCACTTATATAATAGAATGGGTGTGGGCCCAATTAAAACACACCCTCTCCTTGGCAATATAAGTGTATATTATATCGTATACATATATAGGTGGAGAGGTCCTTGCAGAGATGTGTGGAAATCTTTTGCATCTCAAAATCAACACAGTTCACTGCAAACTATTTCCATTTGCGGAAAGTCCCACCGTGAAAATGATATAGTAAAATACTGTGTTCACTTTACCATAACATGATATAAAGGATTATTACTTGGGCCTTAAACTGGGGAAAGATCAATTCCCATCCCTGTCATCCAGTGAGCAGAACCAGGGGTTCATTACATGCCTGGATAGAACACCTGTGACCATTTACTTATTCACTAGACATCTCTTCACGATAGCAACTGAAAATAGCAACTGAAGAAGGAGAATGAGGCTGATGGATGCATGGACAGACGAAATTCTTTCTGCCGAGACAGGCCTCCATGAGAGCTCTGGCCCTTCTGCACCAATGATCATTGCAAGTAGCAAAAGTGGGGAGAAGGCGATGAGGAGGATGGGATGGAGGCGGTAGGTGATGGAGAGATGTGCTCAGGGAAGCTGCTACATGCTCTGCTGAGCTGGGTCGTACCTTCCTCTGCGAATGTTCCTTTGCAAGCCGAAGAGAGAAAAGGAAAGAGAGAAGGGGAGCAGGGGTTAGCAGATAACTTCAGCTGTACATCTTGGCCTGACTGCTTCCAGTCTTCGTGCCACATGCTATGGTTGGTAATGCAAACTAACCTAACATGCAATTTCTTCTTACCATCCAGGACAACTTTTGCGCAGAGATCCAATTACCATCATTCTTGGAGAATTCCATTAGATCATGTAGCTCCTGTTAGAACTTAAAGGGAGGTTGGAAATATCGCAAAGAAGAGCACCTTCATTTCAGTCTCCCCTGCAGCACATTCTCCAAGGCAAGTGGGCCTCACGTTCCTAGTCTGTGTTAGCCTGCATTTCTTCTGGAAACACTACATGTCAATGTTGTTTGCTTGTATTAAAGAAAGTTTACTTGTAATTGCACACCAAGAATACCACACGTAGAACTAGAGGGAATGTAGAAGAAGCTGCCAGGGAAAAGGGATTTTCTGCAGGGCAGAGGTCCTCCATTTTCCTTATCCTTCCATTAAGTTCCCTCTGCTACTTTTTTCGATCCTTGTATCACCTTTCCCAACAGATGGTAAAAATAAACCAATGATGAAAGAACTCAAATTTTGCAACCAAAACAACATTCCAAATGCCTGGGGATCATGTGATTGGGGAAGCAAGAAAAGTTGTTTGTGATTCCAGAATTGTTACAGACCTAAGAAACCAAAGTGATTATTCTGTCTTTGCTACAAATTGAAGGTGCTTTCCTCATCTTCATTCCTCAAACATCTCCTTCCTTCCAGCCTCCCAAACAGTGGTGCTGTGGAATTTATATTCTCTCACCCCTAAGTGCAATAGTGCAAACAGACCAACCCATACAACATGTCATACCAGCAATAAATCTGCAGGAAAGCAAGAGATCTTGGGTGGGGGGTCCAAGTGGGATACAGTTAACTTTATAGGATGTATCTCAAGCTTTTGTTATGATCAGAGTACCCAAAGCAGCTTCTCCCACTTCTTATGCATTAATATATATTGATATATTGGATGACACTCATATCATCTCCTACCAATAAGCTGAGAATAGTGGAAGTGTAGTTTAAGACTGGATTTTACAAAGCTGCTTTGGGGGATGGAATAGATATTTAAGGACTGTTGTTCCCCACTCCACCTCCATGCCAATGTCCCCATCAACATCAGTATCTGATTCATGCAATCCCAGGTCAGGCACTCCTTCATTCATGCAAGTGTCAATCCGTGCAAAACATAACAGGAAGCCTGATGTGGATAAGAGAGGAACAACAGCTATCCCCAATCGATCTGCAGGTCCTTCCATTTCGGTCTCAGCCCTGATTCTCTTTCCCAATCTGAATAGTTTCTCCTGCCAAATAGTTCTTCCCCTCACTAAGCCAACAGTATTAACCCAACTTGATGAACTAAAAATAAAATGGCACTTTTACCCAAGGCAAACAAAAAACCAAAAACCAATTATACATACGACAAGAATAGAAAAGGTTCTGGCTGAACTTTCATAAACCAGCAGCATTAATATCTAGGAAACTGGTGGGGGCGGGGAAAGTAATGGGGAAACTTTGTAGTCCCCTTCCAGTTAATACTTCTCTTATTATGTTCAAGATGAGAAGAAAGAGAAATATTGCTTTAACTGTTGTGAGACCAGCAAGCCAGCATCTTAAGAGGAGAAGAAATTGTGTGACGAAATTACAACAATACCAGCCAATCCTTGCAAGTAGATCACTATGAAATTCTTCCAGTTCAGTTTACTGTTGCTCTCTCTATTGCCACTAGGAAGTATCCTAAAATTTACCATATATTATTTTTATTAGTGGAAAAACACTACAATGCAATTTTAACATAGCACACTTCTGAACTTTTTGTTCCAATATAACATGTTGTGATAATAACTAAAATTTATCACATTTAAGCAAAAACCATTTTTCTATTTTCCCCACTTCTATCCTCAGATTTGTTAAATATGAACTCTCACCACAAGAGGGTGGCTTTGGTCTGTCTATCAAGCATCATACATGCCTGGAAATACAACTAAATATTAATTTGTGTCTCCATAATACTGCACACCTTCTGTCTCTCTTCACCTTTTTCAGACCTATAGCTCAACTTGTCACATTTTCCTATAGTAGCCAATCCTTATTTTGCTGAAATGGATTCAGACCATTGACCAACATCTTATTTACATACATCTTCCTTTGCCATCACTCTCTATCCACTGATGGTTCCTTCTAGTGATTCTTAAAATCACTTCAACTTAAAATGCAGCAAAGACTCAATCCATCATTCAATCATGTTTCCAGTCCAGGCATGTAGTCAGACATAGCTAACTCAAGAATATCCATGCTTTTGCTGTACTATCATAAGGAGGTTTTGCATCATAGAAACAAGCTTGCAAATACCATTTTTATTGCATGACACCTTTAGTACAGCTAGTCCTTGACTTACAATTATAATTGAGCCTGGAATTTCAGCCAGTCATTGCATTAGCAACTCAAGGCATTATATGACCAGCTCTGATTTTTTCTACTCTTTTGTATTGTCATTCAGAGAACACTGCAGTCATTAAGCAAATGTGGCTGTCACTAAGCAAATCCACTTTCCTCAACTGGCACTTTTTTTTGCTGGAAACCAGAAATAAATGCCAGAAACCAGCAAAAAAAGGTCAGAAATCATGGTCATGTGATTGCGGGATGGTGCAAACAATTAAAAAGGTGAACTAGTTATCGTGCACTCAAAACTGCAATCACATGACCATGGGGATGAGTGTAGCTTTGTAACTTTAAAATGGGTCTTATGTACCTCTGGGAAAGCCCACTGTAACTTCAAATGGTCATTAAGTGAACAATTGTAAGTCAAGGACTACCTGTGGAATACTCATATGACTCCACCCTGAAGAGGATCCTCCCCTTCAGCCCAAAACTAAGTTGGGGATGGATGGGCCATACCTGGACTCAATTCCCCTTTCCCCAAATAAGTGCCACTGCAAAAGGCACCTGGAATACATGCAACAGAGAGGAAGTCCTCAAGGCAATCTAGCCCATGGGCACAGCGATTTGAGAAGCACAATATGTGCATGTTGACGCTGCTTACTTAAATCCCCATCCGGTGCCACCAAGAACAATAGCAGCCACCAAGATGGCTCCAGCAATGGAGCCAATAATGATGTTGGTACCACTGGGACCTGTGGAGAAAGAGGAGACAAAAAATGAACTGTGTTACAATTATGTGTGTGCTTGATATGCAGCACAATGTGCAGAACCTAGTTGTGCAACTGGAATGTTTTAATAATTACAATAATAACGTATAGTACAAAACTTCTGGAAATCAGAAAAAGGGATTGTTTTAAATAGGAAAATAGGAACAGGAGAATATTAGAAGAGTTTCTAAGAAGTAAAGAACAAGGAAGCAAAGAAGGCTATTCGAACAGTAGATTGCCACATCGCTCGTCTTGCAATATATATATTGCAAGTTTATCCAGGAAATTCCTTATTCCTTATTCCCTTTCTCAGAAAAATCAGGAAATACCAGGACAAATAAAAGGCATGCAGGAGTTGATCCAAAATGGAAAATGGAAAATCCAAAATGGAAAATGCCTGAAATCTTATTCAGACAGAATAAGATTTCTGCAAGAAACCTTTTTGATTACTTAATTAATTACTTAATTAATTAATTGAGTGTTTTGGCTGTCTGCAAAGTGTTCTGGGCCTCCCACAACTTACCCTTGTATTTTTCTGTTTCTCCAGTAGGCTTAGGGTCTGGGATAGGATCATAGACACTGCAGTCTTTTCCTGTCCAGTCTGAATAGCAGATGCACTGGCCCTCATTGCTGCAGACCTGTAATTAAGCAAGATGCTTTTTGCGGGGCTCCTCAAACACATTCCAGTGATCTTTTTCCAGAAACTTGTATGTGTTCACTTGAGCTACATTTCTTTCTTCAGTGGGCATCATTACACAATGAATTGGCAACAATGAGGCTTTTGAGAAAAAAGTAGAAATTCCAACAATACACCAAAAAATAATTCTATATTATTTAATAATGCTGAAGAATGACTGTTTCTCAATGCAATAATCATTTTTTTGTTGGTATCCCATAATGTAGGTAGGCCATCTTCACTGCATGTAATTATTATATCATAATCAGCTTTTTTATGATCCATCATTACTTGCCAACTTGTGAAAAGATGGGGGGGGCTAACAAATTTAATAAACAAATACACTTCAGGAATATTTAAGATAGACATGCTCCTATTTTTAATGTTCCTGTTTTATCTTTAACATTTAATCCACAAGAAAGCCATTAAAAAAGTGCAGATGGCACAATATTGGCATTTATATAGCTCATACTTGGCAAGATAGTTGCTAAATGATACATTTCTTTCTCTATTTTGCATTATTATTTAATGGAAACAGAAAACACAACTTTTTTATTTATAATTTTTACCCCATGGTCAAAGCAGATCTGGCCACCCCAGCTGCCTGGACAGATACTGAAGTTAAAGGCAGAGACGGGAAGGCATTTGTGATCAAGACACAACATGTTGGGCCCACAGGGTGTCCCATCTTCTACATAGCTCAGATCTGTGCCATCCACCAGTTGCACATGGCCACCTCTGGGTGGGGAAAAAAAAGTTCCATTAAGTGAAGGAATATTTCAATGCCCTTTAAAATGATCTTTGTTCATGCCGACAATGGTGAAAAGTTTGAGGAAGAAAGCACAATAGGCACTTTCTTTTTTCATAGCCCCCTTCATTATATTGCATTACATTACATCCCTAAGGAATCTGTGATTCTGTACCTTCAAGATTGTGGCTGGCAGACATTCCCCAAAATTATTTGGAAACTTACTCTATGGTGGGAGGGGATCAATCTGCAGCCCAGAACATTCCTATTTTCATCTCTCCAATTCTCCAGCAAGTTGGCATGAATGAAGAAGGTGGGTCTTAGAGTACAAGACTTACCGGCAATCAATATATCTCTTCTGGTGATAGAATGTCATTGTTGTGATCTCGCCTAGTAGTTCACCAATACGTGGAGATCCTGTCGCATTGGCACAGAGAAGATATCCACACAACACATCCCTAATTGGAATGGGAGGAGAGGAACATAATATACTTTTAAAAAGACTGGCTTCTGCCTCAATTTACTGGTTGTGGCATTCTAGTGACTTCCCTCTGTGTGGTTTGATTCAGCACACTATGGGAAAGGATATTATGGAAAAAGGAGAAATCTCATATTACTCACTGCTTGATACAGGGCACCCAGCGGTTCCCCTCATGCCCACAGTTCCCACGCTCAGTGCCTTCAATATTGAGCTTCTCGTAGCAAAATCTTTCAGCTGAAGCTTGATTTTTCAGGAAGAGAAGTGAGAAAGAGAATAAGAGCAAGCTAAAGAGCATAATAACCATGGATTTCACATATTGAATATGGAAGAATATTCTATATTTGACAATGAAGAGAATAAATTCTATCACTAGGTCAGCAGTGATGCTGGTGGATGGAGAAGCTTAGGAAGAAACTCAGTTAATTAAATAATTTCTTTACTATACATCCGGAAGTCTTCTACTGACCTAGTTTTTGATGTATAAGGTTTGGCTAACTCCAAAACTGCTTAAGATTTTAAAAACACTATTTTCAAGTAAAAGATTTCTAGCCTTAAAAAGGGAAATGTGCAAACAATGCCAAGAAAATAAGTTCAAGCTATGACATGTGAAAACCTGATCTATGGGGCTTGGTGTTAACATTTGAGGGTTAAACTTTCAGAATTGAAAGGCCAGATTCCTTAGCTGGAATTATTTATAAGGTTCATTTTGCTATCCAAGATGAAAACATTTTGCTTTTTATTGAGCTTCAAACCTCACCAAGTTTTTTCAGTTTGAAGGAATGAGTAAAAATTGCTTCAGTAAATAATTGACAAATAATACTTCTATGGTGCCAAATCAAGTTCCTATCCTTCTCTCCTCTTTTGCATATGAAGACGTCATTTTAGCAACAGCCAGAAGAAGAGGCTGGATTGTCTAGAGTCATGAGCCAATCTGGGTGGATAAGAAGGCAGATTATCCAGTGATCCTTGAGGATTGGCGCTGATATGGGTGGTGTTTGTTTTGTCTCTTTTTCTCCCCCATTGTTTTCTTCCTGTTCTTCTTTTCTGCTGTTCATGGTACGTACCCTCTTCTGTTTAAATCCATCTTCAACATTTCCAGAATCTCTAACTGCTCTATTTTATTCAATCTGTCATAATCTGAGATCTCCAGATACTGTAAATTAAAACTAGTTCCTGTCCTCTCCTGATAAATGGTAGGAATTGGTATCCAACTCATGTGGAAGTTATTGGGTTCTGGAAGAAGCCTTATCAAGACAAAGTTGATGTCACTGAAATAATAGCCTAGTCTTCCCCTGCCTTCTCCAGTTCTTCCTCTGTATATGCATGGGTGTTTTAAATTAAATTAGATTAGATTACTGCTGGATTAGAAATTCCAGTGTTCTATAAAGCACAACATATGTACATGATGTTAAATGTGGTAAATACACAAATAATCAGATTCATTTGTCTTCTTGGCTGTTGGATTTAATTTCTGTTTGTAGTTAAAATGGTTGGCAGAAGTTGAAATAAGCAAAGTGAATAATGGTGAGTATCTCTGGCACAGGCAAAGAAAAGGGCTAGGATCTTGCAAGATTACAGTTCAATTGGGAATTTCTGTGTTAATTTAGAATAAAGCAACAGTGCATAGCAGTGCCAATTTCAATTAGTAGCCAAATTGTTAGCTTCAAATTTAGTCCATTAGCATTCTATCTACAGCTGTGGCATGGTTATGGACTTTTTCTTTAATTTTTTTTCCTACTGAATTACTTCCATAAGATTCATTAAGCAGTAGGGAAGATTTAGGGCCTATTTTCCTTTATGCAACTGCAATACAAATAAACTCTGACAACTCTTGTTATTACTTTGCAATCATGGCATGGTCTTCATTTGATCCCCAGCCCCTATTCCAGGCAACATTCAATCTTCCTTAAAGGAACTTACTGAAGGTCTGGTCAATCCCCAGTCCCTATTCCAGGCAACATTTAATCTTCTGGTATTTAAGCTATGCTTTCCATCATATCCTGATACTTTTTTTTTTTTTTTTGCCACATATACAAATGACATACTTCACTGACCATTCTCTTATGGGCACAACCAGGTGATCTTTAATGTGTGGAATCAGTCAAGCTTCTATTGGTCACTTCAGGAACATGTACATACAACACGCGCACGTGCACACGCACACAAACACACAAAATCCCCATCCACGGACACTTTCCTCCAGGGCTATTCTGGTCTAGGCAATTGGAAAGTCAGTATCTTTCAGACCACCCTCTTTTTCTGTAAAATCCAGGTGCAGAAGAACAAAATAGATTTTAATACACTCAAATAAATTATGTAGAATTCCACCAAAAGAGAAATTAATGGGAAAAGAAGCACAAAATGAACAGATGTTCCTTAAAAAAGGATGTACTCAATGCACAACTGCGAACAATTCTAGTAGTCTGGAACTCAAGAAAGTGGGTTAGGAAAGCTAAAACTCAGAACATGCTGAGGTGAATAAAGAAGTCTGAGAACAAAAAAAAAAATGTTTCTTTAGCCATGATAAGAAAAAAGAATCAACAGACCAATTGCTCATTTCTCTCCATCTTCTCCAGCAAGAAGGTAGATTTTGACCCAGAAAATTGTGAAGAGCAGAATGAAGAGGCATGAGACTGATGAAAGCACAGTCTGACATTATTTGTTACTTTGCATCGAGTCTCCAGGACCAGATGAATTGCATCCTAGGATATTAAAGGAACTTACTGAAGGTCTGGCCAATCTTTGAGAGATCTTGGAGAACAGGTGAAGTGCCATATGGCTGGAAAAAAACATGTTTTGCTTCCTTCAAGAAGGAGGGAAAGGATTACATAAAAGTCATTCTGACACTAATATAGGAGAGCTTAAAGCAGACAATTAAATAATGAATCTGTGAGCACTTTCAAAACAGTGTGATAATTACTTATTTTTCTTGTCAGATAAATCTCACTTTTATTGGGTAAATTCATAAGTGGTTTTGGGAATACTGCAGAGTTAATTTACATGTATTTCAACGAAGTATTTGACAAAGTACTACATTTAATTAACAAACTAGTAAACCACAGTATGGATGACATGGCAATTAAGTACATAGATTGCTCGAAGAGTGCTCATCAATGATACCTCACAAAAATAGAAAGACAAATGTTCTAAGACCAGTCTTGGGCCCTGTATTATATTTTTATTTATCAAGGGATGAAGAGATGCTGATCAAATTTGCATAAAACTGGGAAATAATGCCCTAGAACATAGAAATAAAATTCAAAATAATCTTGATAGTTTAAAGAAATGACTAAAAATAAGAATATGAAACTTAATGCATATTAAGTTAGGAAACATAACTTCTTTAAGTTAGGAAGCATAGCTATAGAATGTTGGATACCTGCTTGATATTAGTATATACTGGAATGATAATTGATTGTAATCAAATATGAATATGCAGCATAATGTTAGTGCAGCCCACCAAAAGGAAAAGTAAATGCAGTTTTAGGTTGCATTTACTAAAGTATAGTTTCCAAATAATAACAATCAAAGTTCCACTTCATTCTGCAACATTGATCAAACTCCAATGTTTAATTATTGTGTTCAATTCTGGATACCACACTTTAAGAAGGCTTCAGATAAACAGAAACAGGTTCATAAAAGCACAAAGAGGATTAAAAGGAGACTAAAATTAACTCCTATGAAGTGAAATTGAAGGAACTATACATGCTTAATCTTAAGAAGTGGAGGTGGGACAGCATAAGATATCTCCTTTCAAATATTTGAAAGTATGTCAGCAGAAGGTGAAAACTTGTTCTCTGTTCTTTCAGAATGCAGGACATGAAATAATGAATTAAAGTCATGGAAAACCAGATGCTGATTAAATGTTAGGGGAAAAAACTTAACAGTAAGAAGCAGTTTGATAATGAAGCCAATTATCCAGAGAGTTCCCATTCATTCCATCTGCTCGTCTGAAAGTGAGCCATCTGGTAGAGATGTCTTAATTTGAATTCCTGCCCTGAGTAGGGAGTTGGCCTAAGTGGCCCTTCCCACACTATGATTTTCTAATTCCTTGAAATAATGCAAAGTTCACGTCTCTGGTTTCTTCATTTGGCACTGGAAAAATCAGAAGATGAATGCAAGAAAGAACAAAAGCCAAGCATAACTATTCAGAATGAAATTGCCTGGCAAAACTAGGTCTAGATGAGTTTTGAAGACAACAGATTTTTTTTTCATCCCAAACCCATCTAAATAGTTTGTGTTGTTTGCAAACAGTGATGGACAAACAAACAAACAAAATGCTGGTGTTTGCTGGTAAGTGATTTGCTAGTAATCGATGATTACAATCATTACAATCATTACAATCAGCTCTAGAAATGGTTATAGGGGCATCTCCTGTTCTCCTCACTGATTCAAGCAATTAACTATCTCCAGAGAAAGCTGCTACCAAAAAACCTCCAGAACAGAGTTCAAGCAGTCTGCTTAGCAAACTGCTATATATATATATAAAAGAAGAGAATCAAACTGTACCACAATTAAGTAACAATAGAATTAATATGTTTTCCCTAACCTGAGGACAATTCCATCTCCAGTATGGATGTCACTCAAATATTCAAGTGCCATTATATTGTACAGCTAAATTATAAGCATATCTACAAAGGCTTGCATTACCACTAGATGGCAGCAAAGAGATTAAAAAACCTTTTTACGGCATACTGGCTATTTAGATTTTGCAATCATTAGTTATGATGATTCTTTTCTAAGAGTGAATAGCTACTTACCTCGCCCCCACAATGCATTGCACTGGCGATCCCTGGTTTTACAACGCCCTCCATAACACCGACCCTACAGAGCAAAAAATGGGACTTGTCAAGAGGCTCATGCTCAAGTGTAATATCCAGGTTATGGGATTTGAGAATCCAGATCTCGCTTTACAATTCCACATTAACCTTTATTTATTTGTTTGTTTGTTTGTTTAAATAACCATTGAGAAACTTGCTCCTTGTTCAATCTGATTTAATTAGAATTTTCCAAGGATACTCCTTTTACTGGGATTGACAGATGGATCCAACTGCAATTAACCTTTCCCCCCATATTTCCTGCAGTTCCAGGAATTCTAGTTATGAAACTGAGATACCAACCATACCTGTTCATTCTCACAAAAATAGCCATCCTGCTTGTGTACATTAGGTGGACACTATGGAGAGAGAAAAAGAAAATTATATCAGAAAGGACAAAATATAGATAATACAACTCAGGAAAACTGGTAAAAGGCTCTTTTCCCCAACCTAGTACACTCCAAATGTACTAGCTAACATCCTATAATCCTCAGTCAACTTGGCACATATTTAAGATATCAGGTTAGGAAGGCTAGAAAAGGTAGGGACCCATTTTAAAGGAATATGCTTTCAAGCCAATTTTATTGACAACATCTCTTTTTTAGAAATTAAAATTCTGGATGAACTTTTCAATAATAAAGACAACCTGCATTGGCTGTTGTGTAGAGAAGCCACATGGATGTTTTGACTAGTAGGTTACAGTGCTATCCTCCACCCCACCCCCATCTACTCGTAAATCATATTCCTTATAATTCCCCCAACTCACCTGACTGGAGTCCCCAGTACAAGTTTCTGGGACATCACATTCATTCACAGCTTCTCGACAAGTTACACCCCGTGGCTCATACTTCATGGGAGAAAATGGGAGAAAAATAAAAGTGGACTTTAATATTAAGCTGGCAAGGGAAGAATAAAACAAAGAACGTGTCTGGTGAGGTCTTTCTCCTTTTTTTCCACTCTCAGGGCAGGAAAAGAGGAGAACGAAATTATCTCTAGCATCATACAAGGAGCAACAGTCCTTACTGCTCTATATAATCCTAGTTTCCTCATCTTCCTCCTTGCAACAAAAGAGAAAAGAAAGCATGTCTCAGCATTTTACCAAATCCACCCACAGATCTGTCCTGTAAATATTAAACGTTCACAGACATACATGCATCCATGAGTTGGGGATACCTGACACTGTGAAGCTGCAGGAATTAAGCAGGTGAAGATTTGCTCAAGGGGGAGACTACTGAACTCCATTCACCCCTTCACTTCCACGATTTATGCAAACTTTAATGCTCTGAGCTGTTCAGAAATATTTTGTAGAAAACCATGCATATCTGAGGCAGCTCAAAATATGTGAGCTGACACCTAGTATCCAATTGCGGCTTGGCCTGATTACAATTTGTTTTCTGTAGGCAGTATTGACATGCAAGCAGATGATGCCCTGCTGTGTAACTCCCAAGAAAGATAGCTTTGCTTAAAACCGGTGAGAGATGGTCACAGATTCGAATGACAGACGTCCCTTTCCAACTTGTTTACCTTGCACTCTCGACAACACAACCCATCACTGCACATGGCATCATGCGTAAGGGTACATTTCTTGCAGCAGTTTCCCCCACTTTTGGAACACTCCTTTGAGAAAAGAAAAACAATATATTTAATATTGCTTGGGATTTTAGGTCAAAGTTGGAACAAGAAAAGTACAGCTTCAGATTTTTTTAAGATCTTAATTAACATTGTTTTAGATATTTGGGTTTTATTTTTAAACTCACTTACCATTTGAATACAGTAGGAATATGAAAACTTGAATTTGCAAGTTTTCTTAACGTATGTTGCTTTATTTTACAAATTATGCAGATGTAATCAATTCTCAAAAAAGCTCTTTTTTCCTTCTACCAATTGAGATAACCATATTGTTTATAACATCAATTTCCATAATGTTTGTTGCTAATTTTTACTAACATTTTTTTGGGGGGATACATATCTCATGAACAGATGATATTTGTTTTTGTGGATTTTGAACAACACCAAAGCCGAACAAAAAGATGCTGGTTGATCTTATCGAGCATTAATGACAGGATTATCCCAATATTTATGGATCTGAAAAAACATTCTGAAGAAAAAGAAATTTGTCCTTTGATAAGAGCGCTGTTGGGGTTCTGATTCTGAACTACTCCAGTCTCTGATAAAATAACAGATATTCTTCAGCATGCATAAAACAGAATTCAGAAGTCAAAGACTGGCAATAGCATTCCGATCACATGCTATAATATTATTTTTAGTCAGATGGCACTTTTTTAGCTCCAGTTGTTGCTTACCGCAAAGGACCCACAGTCACATTCTTCTCCTGCTTCAACAAATCCATTACCACATTCAGGCGGGTCAAGGAGCTGTGTTAAGGTGATAGTGGTGAACGAAATGGAATCATTAGAAGATTTCATGACATCGTCTAATAACATTTTCATCTACATCACTCATTGGCGCTTGAAAGTAGAAATAATAATAATAATAATAATAATAATAATAATAATAATAATAATAATTCCCCTCCGAGGAGCTCTACCTTGTCGTGGTGGAGGGGCTTGCGTGCTCTAGTCATCCTAAGGGCTATGCTGAACAGGTGCAACCATATCAGACAGACCTTAGGTGAAGGGCCAGACAAAATCTGCTCCACAACCCATTCAAATATGGTGAATACAGAAAAAATGAAATTTATGCCGGCTGAACCGTCGCCCGGATTAACAAGGGTTCCGTTGGATGCTATGGCTCCTGGGCATTCTACGCAAAATGAGTTACAGGGCTCAACTCCCTCTGCTAGGCAACCAGGGCATGGAGCTGACAAGCTACTGGAAGAAAAACCCAAAAAGCGAAAAATCTGGACCAGGGAAGAAAACACCTCTATTATGAAAGCTTACCAGCAAAACATGGATTTCAAAAAAGAATGTATCAGATTTGGAAGATGAACCATACGGACTGTGACACCAGTGAACAAAGGTTAATGGACCAACCACGTGTAATCCTAAACCACAAATTTTTCACTACAGAAGAATTAATAGCAATAGAAGAGAAAGCAATTAATGGTCTGAGTACAACAACAAAGAGGAGTAACATCAAGAATGATTTCCAGACTCAAAAGCAAATTGAGGAAGAAAGGGAAGAAGAGGATACTGAAATGGATGAAGATAAAGAACAAGGAAGCACTAAAGAACAAACACCAACAGATAGTGCTCAATTAGCTGGAAAAATAAAGCACCAAATGGAAGATGATGAAAGAACACGTTTGCCAAAGCTGAACCAAGTGAACTGGAAAGAATTGAGAAATGTACTAAAAAAGGTCAATGAGGCTGTGCAAACTATTCGAACCACTACATTAGCCAAAACAAACCAACTGATGTATGCAGCAGCTGTCATAACCACCAAAGAACTGGGGTTGAAAATACAAAAGAACCAAAGAGGCAAGAAGGGGAAGCCTAAGTGGAAAATTCGGTTAGAATTGAAGATCAAAAAAGTACGTGGAGATTTGAGCAACTTGAAGAACCTAAGGCAAGGTCAGCTAAAGAACAAGCAGGTCAAAAGCAGCCTGGAAGCAAGATACGATCTAAGGAATAAGGAGACTGCAATAGTAATTGAAGAGCTGAAGCAGAGGGTTGTTGCCATTGCTGAAAAGATTAAAAGGTATGAAAACCGAGTAACTCAGTTCAAGGAAAACTCACAGTTCAGAGCAAATCAGCACCAGTTTTATAAGAATTTAGAAAATGGAAATGGAGTAACAACAAATGAAAAGCCTGATAAAGAGAAAGCTCTGAAATTCTGGAAGAATTTGTGGGAAAACAACAAGAAGCACAACAGAAATGCAAAATGGATCAAACAGGTTGAGGACTCTATTAAAATGCATAAAATGGAAGACGTGAAAATAACAAAAGCAATGGTGCAAAGACAGTCAAGAAAAGTGAAGAACTGGAGTGCACCTGGACCGGATGAGCTGCATGGCTTCTGGTTAAAGGCACTTACAAGTCTGCACAAAAGATTGGCAACCCAGATGAACCAGATCCTAAAAACACCTGAAAATGATGGATGGATGACAACTGGAAGGACATTTTTGATCCAAAAAGATAAAGAAAAAGGAAAGGACCCTGGAAACTATAAGCCAATCACCTGCTTGCCAACAACATACAAGCTTCTTACTGGTATCATTGCAAACCAAATCTATGGATACCTGGAAAGAAATAACTTGCTTCCTGTAGAACAGAAAGGATGCTGCAAAAACTCAAGAGGAACAAAAGATCAATTGCTGATCGACAAGCTAATCCTAAAGAACTCGAAGAAAAGACAAACCAACCTGTTCATGGCTTGGACAGACTATAAGAAAGCATTTGATTCAGTTCCCCATAGCTGGATCAAGAAATGCCTGGAAATATTAGGCATCAGCAGCAACATACAAAAATTCATGGAATCTTCAATGAACCTCTGGAAAACAAAACTTATGGCTAATGAAGAAGAATTGGGTGAAGTTGAAATTAAACGAGGCATTTTCCAGGGCGATTCCCTTTCACCCCTACTTTTTATACTCTCAATGCTACCACTGACAATCATTTTGAAGAAGATGAACTGTGGATACGAACTTGCAAAGAAAGGACTGAAAATCTCGCACTTGGTGTACATGGATGATTTGAAGCTGTTTGGTAAAACAAAAGCTGAACTGAATTTATTAATTGAAAACACAAAAGAATTCAGCCAAGACATTGGTATGCAGTTTGGAATTGACAAATGTGCAACAATAGCAACCAAAGCAGGCAAGATCATAGAAGAGGATGGAATAGAACTAGAGAATGAAGAAATGATAAAGGCAGTAAAATCAGAAGAAGGCTACAGGTACTTGGGAATTTTAGAAGCCTCTGACTTAATGCATAATAAAGTCAAGGAATTAACTTCAGCCAAGTACATTCGACGAATTCGTAAGATATTAATGTCCAAATTGAGTGGAGGAAACATCATAAAAGCCATAAATACCTGGGCTATACCTGTGATTAGATACTCTGCAGGAATAATTGACTGGACCCAGATGGAGTTAGACAATTTGGACAGAAAAACAAGGAAGCTTATGACAATGAATCATGCCTTGCACCCTAAAAGTGATGTTGACCGATTATATTTACCAAGAGCAGAGGGTGGTCGAGGACTCCTACAAGTAAAGCAGACTGTGGAAGAAGAAAAATGCAGCTTGAATGATTACATCCAGAAAAGTGAAGAACCAATGATTAAGGAAGTAAATAAAGGAGGCCTTTTAAAGACAACTAAAACAAAAGCAGAATATAAGAAAGAAGTAATTGAGCAGCAAGCTGAAAATTGGAAACACAAAGCTCTGCATGGCCAATACTTGAAAAGTATTGAAGGCAAAGCTGACCAGAAACTAACTTGGAACTGGTTAAGATCAGGAGTACTGAAAAAAGAAACAGAAAGCTTTATTTTGGCAGCTCAAGAACAAGCCCTAGCCGCAAACTGTATGAAGGCAAAAATTCAACATGTTACCACCAACAGCAAATGCCGCCTCTGCAATGAAAAAGAAGAGACAGTTGACCACCTGATCAGTGGGTGCAGCAAAATTTCACAAACTGACTACCTACAACGCCATGACCGTGTTGCTAAAATCATTCACTGGAAATTGTGCCAGAAGTTTGGATTTGAGTACAGCAAAAACCACTGGGAACATCAGGTTGAGAAAGTTTTAGAGAATGAGAAACTCAAGATCTTGTGGGACTTTAGGATTCAGACTGACAGGCACTTGATCCACAACACACCTGACATAACAATAGTTGAAAAGAAAAAAGTATGGTTCATTGACATTGCAATACCTGGTGATGCACGAATTGAAGATAAGCAGCAAGAAAAAATCACAAAGTACTGGGACTTACAAATTGAAGTTGAGCGACTGTGGAAAAAGAAATCGTGTGTTGTCCCGATTGTAATTGGAGCCCTCGGAGCAATACCCAAAGGGCTACCCCGCTATTTAGAAATTCTAAATTTGCCGGACTTGAACATTTTGACTCTACAATAAACCACCTTACTCGGAACAGCTTACATCCTCCGACGATACCTTAACAGTTCCTAGGTCCTTGGTTAGGACTCGAGCTGCTGAGCTATTAACCAGCCTCAAAGGCTGTGAATCTCACTAAAGATTAAATAATAATAATAATAATAATAATAATAATAATAATAATAATAATAGTAATAATAATTTTATTTCTATACCGCCCTTCTCCCGAAGGACTCAGGGTGGTATCCAGCCTATTAAAAGCACGAAGACAAACAACAATTAAAATTATTTAAAATTATTAAATAATTTCGGCTCAATATTAAAACCCCCCAAAATTTAAAACATCCAATTTAAAATCATTACATTGATAGCCTGGCCTGGTGGAACAGCAGGGTCTTAAGGGCACAGCGAAATACCCTGAGGTCAAAGATCTTACGCATTTCCGGGGGCAGTTCATTCCACAGGGCTGGGGCTCCCACAGAGAAGGCTCTCCCCCTGGGTGTCGCCAACCAACATAACTTGGCCAATGGCACCCTGAGGAGACCCTCTCTGCGGGAGCGAACTGACTGGTGGGAGGCTACTGATGGCAGAAGTCGGTCTCGAAGGTACCCAGGTCCTATGCCATGGAGCGCTTTAAAGGTGGTAACCAACACAAATGAAGAAACTCTCTTGAAATTTCTCCTTTTTATGTTCCATTTTGAGAGGGGATAGATTTGAGGAATCAACAATGAAAGTAAAAGCATTTTTTTTAAGGGAAACAATAATTTCAAAGTAAATTCCTCCATTGTTTTACCAATTGGCAGCTGATACAGGACTATAATTTAAGCAAACTGAACTCAGAATGACACTATGCTGTTTATGATAAAATGCTATTCAAACTTATGACATAATAGCAAGGCAAAGAGATTTTGGGAGTTAATATGCCATGTATCTATTGGGAAACCAATTTGTTATATAGTACTTCATAAATGCCTAAAATTATGATATATTTCCTAAAGTAGAGTAGCAGTTAAAAGAAACTGCTTCTTGTCCAATATCTATATATGCTGGATGGTTCCCTTCTCAGAGATGTATCAATTTATTGGCTTATTCAGGCTAAAGTAGGCACAATACCATTCAAGCAAAGCCATTACATCAATGAGGTTTTAAAAGTTGTGGATCTTGGTCTTTGGAATATAAAACCGTCAACATTTCATCTATTTAGTTATGCTACAACCTTGATCTTAATCTACAACCTTGATTATTCTATCCTGCCTGAAATAGTACAATCTATTTGCATCTAAGGAACAGCAAAAGGTACCAAAATAACTTGGAATTCTGGGGTCTTTGATCAGTCAATAAAAAGGTCATGCCTTCATTATGAATCTGATCTAGTATTTTGTAATATAGAAAAAAGATTGCCCTAATTTAAACATCTTTATGGAACAAAAAAAAAAAAAATACTGGAGTTACACTGATTATGTTTGGGAAGGAAGAAAAATCCTATGTCTCTCTGGGATGGAAAGGATTTCCTTATTTCTCAGGTTGGATTACCAAACAGTGAATGAGTCTGCTTTGAATGTCATTTTAAAATCCTGATGCTTCTGGGTGTGGCAGGAATCATTAAGATGTGTAGGAAATCCCTTTTTTTTTATTTGAAAAAGAGAGAGAGAGACAGAGAGCCTTGAATAAGGTTAACATTACTTGCTCGCTCCAGTTATTTATTCAGTTTACATCGCCCAACGTAAGACTAAAAAACTTAAAGTTTTTTAATTGCTTTCTTACTGATGAAAGAACCCCTAAAAGTATAAAATTGATAGGGAAAGACCTTTTTAAAAACTATACTGAAAACAATACAGTAAAAACAGAAGCAAATTTGGGAATATATATATATGTGTGTGTGTGTGTATATGTTCAGTATTTGTTTCTATATGCTAGAGAATGTAAAATTAATAGATTACTAACACTTATTTATTAATTTAATAAATTTATGAATACATAACTCTGGGACGCTAACAATCAAAACAAAGTAAAAATAGAATTAAAACAAAACAAATTAAATAATTAAAAACAACATAATGCATAAATGAAAGCTTCTTCTCTAACACTTGTTAGAAATTTTAATGACCAAGTCAATTTTTTTTTTCCATATTTGGTGGCATTGTTATAAAGCTCAGCAATTGGAAAATTATTTCAACTAGAATGAAACCAATGACTTTCCTATTTTCTTATTAAATATTGCTAAACTTATATTCCAACAAAATACATGAAGCTAATATTGATAAGTGTAGCAAAGATTCTTTATACTTCCTGCTGGAAAGAATGTACATAGCTAATTAAACCAAAGACTGTTTAATTAATTGAATAGAATAGAACAACAGTTGGAAAGGACCTTGGAGGTCTTCTAGTCCAACCCCCTGCCTAGGCAGGAAATCCTACACCACTTCAGACAAATGGTTATCCAACATCTTCTTAAAAACTTCCAGTGTTGGAGCATTCGCAACTTCTGGAGGCAAATTGTTCCATTGATTAATTGTTCTAACTGTCAAGAAATTTCTCCTTAGTTCTAAATTGCTTCTCTCGTTGATTAGTTTCCACCCATTGCTTCTTGTTCTACCCTCAGGTGCTTTGGAGAATAGTTTGACTCCCTCTTCTTTGTGGCAACCCCTTGAGATATTGGAACACGGCTATAATGTCTCCCCTAGTCCTTCTTTTCATTAAACTAGACCAGAGGTGGGTTTCAGCAGGTCCTGACCAGTTCTGGAGAACCAATAGCGGAAATTTTGAGTAGTTCAGAGAACTGGTAGTAAAAATTCTGACTGGACCCACCCACATCTATCGTCTGCCTCCCAAGTCCCAGCTGATCAGGAAGAAATGGGGATTTTGCAGTAACCTTCCCCTGGAATGGGGTGGGAATTAAGATTTTACAGTATCCTTCCCCTACCACATCCACCAAGGCACACCCACAGAACTGGTAGTAAAAAAAATTGAAACCCACCACTGAACTAGACATACCCAGTTCCTGCAACCATTCTTCATATGTTTTAGCCTCCAATCCCCTAATCATCTTTGTTACTCTTCTCTCACTCTTTCTAGAGTCTCAACATCTTTTTTACATCGTGGCAACCAAAACTGAATGCAATATTCCAAGTGTGGCCTTACCAAGGCATTATAAAGTGGTATTAACACTTCAAGTGATCTTGATTCTATCCCTCTGTTTATGCAGTCCAGAACTGTGCTGGCTTTTTTTGGCAGCGGCTGCACATTGCATTGGTGGGAGTATGCCTTGATGTTCCAAATAACTTTGCATCTCAATACTTGTATAAGTAAATCTTATACAAAACCTAATTCTACTTGGAAACATTTTTTAATTAGAGTTCTATATATACAGTAGGCCTCTAGAATATTCAAAATTTGGGTTTTCTTGTTAGCAAAGATTGTACAAGATGTATTAAATCAGAATAGATCTTCAATATAGAACAGATTATTGATATTGTCACATATATTGCTTGGATTTTAGCAATGACCTTTAGTATTATATATTCAGTTATTTAAAACCAATTGAAATACTGAAAATATTAACTTAATTCAAGTATGTTTAAGAGAACATTCTCTATAGGATGCCTTACAGTGCATCTACTTTACAGTAGTCAATCCTGCATTTTTATGCAAGTCACTCAAGCTTCCCTAAAGCAAACACATGTAAAATGCAATGACTGAAGTCTATGCAACACATGTTGATGACAAGTCTTAAAAAAAAAAAAAAAGAGGGGTCTTAGATTGCCCAAAAAAATCATAAAACTGCAGAGGAGATTAGGAAAGTGAAAAAAACTCCAAATTGCAAATTACTTTCGTATTGTTGATAAGAAAACAATTATGAAATGCAGCATGAGTTAATTGTATTTTTTCTAAAAATTGAAACTGATCTTTTCAACAATTTTGTGAGGTCAGCTGAGAGGTAAAAGTTAAAGGTTCCCCTCGCACATATGTGCCCGATTCTAGGAGGTGGTGCTCATCTCCGTTTCAAAGCCGAAGAGCCAGCGCTGTCCAAAGACATCTCTGTGGTCATGTGGCCGACATGACTAAATGCCAAAGGTGCAAGGAACGCTGTTAGCTTCCCACCAAAGGTGGTCCCTATTTTTCTACTTGCATTTTTTACGTGCTTTTGAACTGCTAAATTGGCGGAAGCTGGGACAAGTAATGGGAACTCATTCCATTATGTGGCACCAGGGATTCGAACCGCTGAATTGCCAAACTTTCGATTGAAAAGTTCAGCGTCTTAGCCACTGAGCCACCATGTCCCTATTCAGCTGAGAGGTAGTACCACCTCTTAAAGTTCCATAAGAAAGATATGGTCCTACCTTACCTAAATCTTTGGCTGATATTCTGATCACAAAATAAGAATTTGGTTTCACTATAGTCCTATGAATTGCCAAGATATAAGATAGATGGAAAATGTTGTCTGAAATAATTCTTATTTACAATTGTGATCAAATGGAAGTGTTTTAATGTTACCTTCAAAGGCTTATTAAAGAGACAGCTTCCTCCTCCTTCAGCCAGAAACTGATTGAATTCATCAACACTGCAGCGTGAAAATTTCCGTGGCAGGTAGTATCTGTGTATCAGGAAGAGAGCCAATAGAAGATTAAAAGGCAATGAAATGTCAAAGGAGGTAAAACGTTTTCCTTGGTCCAGAGACTTCCAGTGAGAAATTGATGTTCCTGAACATGGGAACAACATTACAGCTGAATTGGGAGCTTACTGCAGGATCTGAGCGACTGAAATCTCTCTGGAGAAAGAAGAGATTGTGAGATTGCCCATACATACTCCAGATAGCTGTTACTGGTGTATCAACAGCAGGAACCAATGTTTCTGTGGTCACTTGTGTATAATGCAACTGGCAGTCAAGGGAGTTCATCAAGCTCACAAATGTAATACTGTCTTTTAAGGACTTTTAAGTTTGACCAATTTTCATTTCTTAACCAGTTTTGGAATTTTTTTTTTACTGTTTTTTAAATATTTAGAACTCTTGGAACGGCACAGATGTTTCATAGAATTCACTGATTGAATTCACATTCAATCCAAAGAATTTTAAAATATAAATTTAAAGACTCAGAAAAAAATCAGTTTTGGAGTAAATAGGAAAAGGATGATTAGAGTGTTGATTTTGGAAAGTTATAAACAGATTGAAGGTCCAGATAGATGTGAAATAAGATTTCTAATTGTATATACTACTAAAGCACGTGTCTGTAACCTTTTATTGGACAAATCATAGGGCAAAACAGAAGGTACTAAAGATTACATGTAAAGGAGAAATATCTAAATTACTTGCCAAGAATAGAACAAGTATTTTAACATAGATTAAGATATTTGGGAATAATGGACTCAAATTAATTTAAAAATATTGACTATTATAAACAGACTAGCTGAATACCTGTGCTCTGCTACAAAACTATGTGATCGGGCTTGATAATTGACACTTACAGCTTGAAAATTAATGAATACCGTATTTTTCGGAGTATAAGACACAACTTTTTTCCCCCTAAAAGGGGGTGAAAATTTAGGTGCGTCTTATACACCGAATGTAGCCCCACCCACTCACTGGTCCCCACCCTTTAGCCCCTGCCTCACAGCAGTTACTTCCTTGCAAGCAAACAGCAAGAAAAAAACAGGTCCTTTCAGCTTCAGCACAGCCGAATTAGCACAAGTTGATTGGATCAGCCTCCCAACTCTCAGCTGATTTGCTTTCAGCTGTTTTGCGCAGGGCTCTGCTGCTAGCTGCAAAAAGGTAAATTGCTGGAACAGATTTTTTTTTTCCTTTGTGCTAAACAAGCTATGCTGAAAACGAAGATGAAAGTAAAGAAGGCTGTTTGCTGTTTGCTGCAACGAGGCAAAATTGCTCAGAGGCAGAGGGAGATTTCTTTTTCTTCTTTTCCTCACCAAAAAAGGTAGGTGCGTCTTATACTCCAGTGCTTCTTATACTCCGAAAAATATGGTAGTTAGGATCAACCTCTCCTCTCCCCTTCTCTCCCTCAGCTTTGCCCCACAGAAATGTCTCCTATCCTATCCCCTTCTCTCCCTTAGGCCAGCCCCAAAGAAGCCTCCCCTATCCTATCTCCTTCCCTCCCTCAGGCTTGCCCCACAGAAGCTTCACCTATCCTACCCCCTTCTGTCCCTTAGGCCAGCCCCACAGAAGCCCCCCTATCCTATCCCCTTCTCTCCCTCAGGCCAGCCCCACAGAAGCCTCCCCTATCCTATCCCCTTCTCTCCCTTAGGCTTGCCCCACAGAAACCTCCCCTATCCTATCCCCTTCTCTCCAGAGTTATTTTCAGGTTGGGAGGAGGAGTAGAACATCTAACTAATTAGCATCAGAGCATGTTAATAATAATATAAGAAATACTAATGATCTGATGGTCACTTTGAAAAATCCTTTCTTAGCAACCACCTAGAAGCCAAGAGGAACATACGTGCCAAATTTCAAGTTTGTAGGCTTTACAGTTCTGGAGATTTCGTGATCGTGGCGTGAGTGGTTTTCGTTTTTATATATGTAGATTGTAAATGATATTGTGGAAGAGGAATGGGTTTTGCTAGATAAAACTGAAACTGATTTAAATGTGGATCTGGAAATGACACATTACAAGAATGATAGGGAAGGAGATGACATACTGAATTTAGAAATTCTGTGATAAAGGACAAAGCAAAAATGAAAAAAAAAATCAAACTTAAGAAAGAAAGCTATTAAAGTTTCAAGATTTTCTGAGAAGGAGAGGGAAAAAAACTTCTAGCACATTATTTGAGGGGACTAAAAACTAAAATTGTACAGAATAAGGGGAAGGAACATTGTCACGGGCCAGGATTCAGATTCAAACTCTGACAACATTGGTCCAGCTAAGTCTTATGGGTTGTTAGCAGCAGTGAAATGCTCCCGGTTCGGACGGGATCACCCGATCCGGTAGCGATGGAGGCGTGTGGTTCTGAGAACCGGTAGCAAAAATCCCTGCCCCACCCATGCCCAGCTGAGCCACGCAATCATCAGAGGCTTTTTTTTTATTTTTAAAAGCATTTTTTCTACAACCTCTTTGGCCGAAAAAAATGTTTTTAAAAGTAAAAAAAAGAAGCCTCTGATGATCGGGTGGCTCAGCTGGGATCATCAGAGGCTTTTAAAAGCATTTTTTCTATAACCTCTTTGGCTGAAGTGGTTATAGAAAAAATGTTTTTAAAAGGAAAAAAAGCCTCTGCCGATCAGGCAACTCAGCTGGGATCGTCAGAGGCTTTTAAAAGCATTTTTTACAACCTTTTCAGCAAAGAGGTTGTAGAAAAAATGGTTTTAAAAGTTAAAAAAAAAGTTGGCCACACCCACTCAGTCATATTACCCCACCCACCTACCAAGCCACGCCCACAGAACTGGTAGTAACAAATTTTACATTTCACCACTGGTTGTTAGCCTCAAGATTCTTCAAGCCAGGATTCATCTGAAGAGGCTAAGCAATCATAGGAATCTCCTGATTAGATGGAGCAGTCAGATGATGAGGCATGATCTTCAAGGCCCATTAGATCAAAGCCACTCGATTAGGCTTTTCACTAAGTAAAGGACAAAGCCTGAGTAATTGCAGCCAACTGCATATAGATTTATTAGCTGCTTTCCCTTTAGTCTTTATTGGAAACAACAATGTGACTTTTTAGTTTGTGATAATAATTCCCGTGTAACTTATTCTTGAACTTTTGACTTTGGACTGGCTGTCTACCTGACTGGAATGAATTTGGATCACTCTATTGCTTCTTAAACTTCAAAGCAATTTATTCAGGCAAGGTCTCTTTGCAGAGGCCCTGATTTACAATCTGGTCTACTATTAACTGCTTATCTCCATAGCAACTGCCTGCAAGTGTTTGTATGCTAAACTGAAACAGAACAAATATAAAGTAGGTTTATTGATCAAGGTTAAAACAAATGCATTGTCAGAAAGTCATTAATTGACTGTTGCTAATTAGGACTGCATAAGGTTTTAAGGTTCTATTCTCAGATGAGAGATATGGGAAAATAATTTATTTTGTATTTTATGTATTTTAAGTAATGTTAATATAAGTAAGTAGTCTTTTCCTTCACCCAGTCTTAAGCATGCGAGCTGGCTAGGTATCTTTGGGTCAGTTATTCTCTCTCAATTCAACTCGCCTCACAGGTGAGTTGTGGGAAAAATATGAGAAAGGAATATTTGTCACCTTGAGTTATTTATAAAAATAATAAGAGCAGGATAAAATAAAACTAATGGGTTTTCATTTATTGTGATTGGATAATAAACTTTCGGGGGATTTCTTGATAGATAAAACATGAGATACAGAAGGAAAAGAGGTGTTTTGGATGTAAATTCTCTTTTTGAAGAGATTTTGAGGAGATGAAGTGATACCATTCTAGATAAAAGACTGTCCAATCTCTTCTTAAAAAGCGATGGAGCACCCACAACTTCTGGAGGCAAGCCATTCCACTGATGAATTGCTCTCACTGATAGGAAATTTCCCCTTAGTTCTAGGTTTGATCTCTTCTTGATTAGTTTTCATCCACTGCTTCTTGTCCTGCTTTCAGGTGCTTAGGAAAATAAGTTGACCTCCTATTCTGTGACAAACCCTCAAATATTGGAAGACTGCTAGCATGTCATTCTCTTCATTAGATTAGACAAACCTAGATCTTGCAACCATTCACCATACATTTAGCCTCCAGCCCCTTAATCATCTTTGTTGCTCTTCTCACCATTTTTTCTAGAGTCTCAACCTATATACAAAAAGCATCTTTTTTGCATTGTGGTGACTAAAACAGGATACATTATTCCAAGTGTGGTCTTACCAAGGCATTGTAAAACAGTACTAACACTTCTGTGATTTTGATCTGTTGATGCAGTCTAGGACTGCATTGGGGTTTTTTGGCAGCTGCAGCAAATAGTTGGTTATTATTAAGAGAAAATGATGATTTGTTGGAAATATTTTTTATACTTGTGACAAGGGACGGAGCTATTTCTTCATAATTTTTTTTCCTGCTATAATTACATTTTTTTCTTTTCTCTTGCACTTTATTTTTTTTTTATTTTTGATCTTAATTTTTATAGTTTCTATTAGTTTTTATTTGGATGGTTGTAATCACTAATAAAGATTATTTTAAAAGTTTTGTAAGCTCAATATGGCTAGATGTAAAATCATTAAATATAACCACACATCTGCATCTTGAATTTGTTTTCAGTTGATGCCAGAGGCTTAAATTGGGGTGTTCTCTGGCCCATGAGAGGGTCTATTAGTGACATATTAAATTCCCTTTCCTTTCTTTTGAAAAAGACAGCAGGGGCGGAGGGTGGGGGGAAGGTTGATAGAAAACTGAATTTAAAAACTGGCAAGATAACCAGATGTAGCAGATGTCAGATTACTAAAAAAGGAAAATTGAATAGATGTATCTCTCTTTTTCCTATGCATAAATCACTACCTGCTTTCTTCTGAGGCCAGCTAGAGAGGGAAATAGATGAATTTAACAATAATTAATCAAAGAGAGTTTTCTGTTGCCAGCAAGATGTAAAGTTAAGATCTAAACACTTTGGGGGGTACTTTAATAAATCCTTGGTTCCTGATCTCAAATATTAACCCAACACCTTGGCCTTATATGATCCTCACTTCTTCTACAACTTACCCAGTATCTTCCATAATACAACCCAGCCATAAGTCAGGACAGCGACAATCTCCTATAGAGAAAAGGAGCAATAAAAAAAAATAGAAATATCTTCTCAAAGAATTATGGGAAATGTACATTCTCTATTCCTAGTTCACATTTATTGTGTCCAAATCCCCTATTTCAAATTATAACCCAGAACTGTATATTCCTAAAGCTGAAATAATCAAGTACTATTTATTTTCTCACTGTCCTTGATAAAACATCCCATTCTAAGATTAAGCCTTAAACCATTTTTTTCTATAAAATCTGAACTACCGTGTTTCCCTGAAAATAAAACCCTGTCTTATATTTTTCTGAACCCTGAAATAAGCGCTTGGCTTTGTTGCCATGCACTCAAAAGCCTGATTGGGCTTATTATCAGGGGATGTCTTATTTTGGGGAAAACAGGGTAGATGTTGTTGGAAGATGGCCATGTTAATCTTTGTTGGCAAAAATATCAAGAAGAATCAGATAGCAATCTTTCCTAACAAATGTTGACAGTTCTCTTCTGATGGTTGCATAATGATTGATATTACAGCACCTACATAGCATTTCAACTTGTATTCCTCTCCCTGAATTTTAATTTCAAGTGCTTGTTTGTCTTGCCAACTTTTGTCTCCCAAAACTTCTGAACCAATTACAAATGGAGAAAGTAAACACCCTAACCCAGTGGGTTCCCTTACTAGAAAACTTGTGGAAAATGTTCCATTTGCAATAATTCTTGCTGCTTGTTGTTGGTTTGTTATCCGTCCAACTTTTAAATTCTTGTCTTGGATTCATTTTGTTTTAAAAAGGCTAATAAAAAGCCCACTTCAATTTATCAGAGACTTTTTCTGCATGTACAAATATTAGTGCTCTCCTTTTTTAAGTAATGATGTATTCTAGTGCATTTATTTTTAATAATTGTTCTTCATTTTCCTCCTGAGAATGTAACCTGTTGGTCTCTATGCATTATTTCACAAATACACTTTCTCCAATATCCAGCTAATATTATTAATAGCTGATAATGTTGAGTAAAGAAAATGCTGCAGGTGACTTAATAGTATTTATTAATAGGTAGCCCAATGTAGTTTTAAACTGGAATGAAGAGAAGGGGGGGAAGGCAGGTTCAATATGCTGATGAAGGTTACATACCAGACAGATTAGAGAATGTTTCAGGCAATCTCAGGAGATCCCAAAAATATAAATTGATAATTGATAAGGTACTTTAATCTATCACATATCACGTGCATATGCAAAACCTGTTAATTAGTTGAAAATTTTTAACTATGAAACTCCAGGAAGATCATCTGCAATTTTTTGCAGTAACATTTTATTCTTTAGCCAGGTTCATATTAATAACTTCAAAAGAACTGCCCTTGCTCACCCATTCTACTATCATGATCATGACCTTAAGAAGCAGCCAAAACCATGACAAAGAGGATGTGGAAGAAAACCAAATTAGATCTGGAGGACTGACAACATAAACCACAACCATAGTGAACCCAGATTTAGGCTCCAACATCAGTTTTGGCTTATCCACTCAGAATCTTTTAAAGTACAGATTTCCAAATTGGAAACCAAAATAAAGTAACCCCTGATCTGAAAGAAACAATCTCAACTTACATTAAAATGTTCATGATGCATGAAAAATATCAACATAGAAAATGAAGTACTAAATTAGAAGCCAAAGAATTACTTTTTCAAGTTTCTCCAGAACAGGAGACAAAGCATGAGAATGGAATAGTTCTTAAATTTATTCGAATAAAACTGCCTGTTGGGCTTCAGATCTCTTTGAAACAAGGTTTTTTTAGGCAAATCATAGTCTCAGAATTATTGTTGGACTAAGCCAGTGGTTCTCAATCTATGGTCTGTGGGCCCGTAGGGAGCCACAATGTTATCATATGGGGTCCACGAAGGCTTGAAGAAATGTTATGATTTAAATCTTGAGTGAAGTCTTGGAGGTTTGTGGCCATAGTTTGTGGCTACAAGAGGTATTTAAAGTGGGGCTGTGCTGAAGAAAAGATTGAGAACTACTGGTCTAAGCAATTCTCAGGTTCTCATTATGCCTTGAGATTAGGAAAACACTTGGCTCATCACACAGTTACTTACCTGCAGAAGCACGGTGCTTATTCCACATCATGCCAATGTTTTGCCCCAAGGTCTGGGCTAATGTTACTGCCATTGCTCCAACGGTACCATACTTTGGGAAGGAGGACAACAAGTTATTGGGTAGGCTGAGTATGGAGTGATTAACTATCATAAAAATGTTACATTTTTGAGGGCAGATTTTTCCCAGATTATTCACAAGCCCCATAGAAATTAACCCATCCCATCCTTTCGCTCTGTGGATATATCCTCACCCTGCAAAGAACAATGAATTCCTGGCTATGGTTGACATGTAAAGAGCCCTATCAATACATAGAACATCAGAGTTGGAAGGGACCTTGGAGGTCTTCTAGTCCAATTCCCTCTCAAGCAGGGAACCCTATACCATTTCAGTTCATGTGAAACTAGAATGAGATGGTTGCTTCAGGGCAACAAATGCTGGAAGATGTGCAACAGAGAGCAGCCCACTTGCCATTCTTCTTGGTTGAAGAATTCTCTAGAAATGGCATGGATAGAACATGGAATCTGCTATAGACTTTTCTTTGGCAGAAAACTGTTTAATGAACCTTAATAAGCATGTCAATGTTTCAGTCACCCACACAGAATAGAATAACAGAGTTGGAAGGGACCTTGGAGGTCTTCTACTCCAACCCCCTGCTTAGGCAGGAAACCCTACACCACTTCAGACAAATGACAAATGACAAACAAGTACATCAGCTACTTTGTAAAATCATGTAATGAAACAAGAGAGGCACTACTCCAATGGTCCTATAATATAAATTTAGTTGACTGAAGGGAAAAAAAGAGGGGAAAATATACGGGATGTATGTCAGCAAATGTAGTGGCAAAAACCATAGGTATTCTGTTAGAGTGTGGAGACAAGACTTCACAGAAAGTAGGAGATTCTGAAAGGGTTTTAAAGGTCAGAAGAGTAGTATCTCACAAGGGAAAGGGATCTTCAAAGCCTCAGGAGTTGCAAGATGAGAAAAGAAATCTAAATGAACTTGAGATCTTTGAACAGACAAATCTGATACAGTTGGAAGAGCATGCAGGCTTTAATTCTGTACCTTTAAACTCCAGCCCCCGTCATCATAACCCAACTCACCTCATTCACACCTCCACCTCTAGCAACCGAGCAGATTCCTCCAACGTAAGCTGTACCACTGCGACTGCTTCTAAAAGTGTGCCCTCTGGGAGAGTAAGAAGGAAGATTTACTATGCAGGTGAAGGAAAAGCTAAATACCTTGACCTGCTAGATTTTTTTGTCCTCTTGGCATTCACTTACTAAACCTAGAACAATGAAACTAGCAAAATAGGGCAGGAGTATGGATTGGTCAGGGAATTCATTTCTTTGTTACCTTTGTTCCTTTGTTCCTGTTCCTGTTACCTTTGTTCCTCATTATGGTAGATGTGGGCTCATTAGTTCTAGTGAACTACAGAGGAGAGAGGAGGCATGTTCATGTATGAACACTTCCTAGCAATATTCCAGGACAAAAGCTATTTCTATTTCAGTTAGAAATTCTGATCTTAGCACTAAGTTGAAATGGACTCTGCTGTGCCATATTTTATATGCTGATCTACATTAATTCAAACTTGTTGTTTCTTGAGATCTGATAAAATGAATCTATATATTTTAATCACGAGTCACAAGTAATTGTTATTTTAAAAACCATTCTTTCTAGAACTGGTATTAACTTTACTGGTATACTAATTAGAGATATTAGGGAGCCTCTTATATAATTTTAACATGTAATACAGTTATTATCTAGTACAAATAGTTCTTCTTTAGTGACCTCAAAATGGGACCAGCAACTAACTCAATCATTCAGTGAAGCGATTGTTAAGTGAAAGCACACCTGTGTTTGTAATCTTACTTCAGCTTTCCTTTGCTTTACCTACCTGTAAAGGCTGTAAATGTGATTATGGGTCATAAAGTCATTTTTTCATTACCATTCTCCCATCCTTCCAAGGTCAGTAAAATGAGACCCCAGATTGTTGGGGGCAATATGCTGACTTTGTAAACTGCTTAGAGAGGGCTATAAAGCATTATGAAGTGGTATATATGTCTAAGTGCTAAGTGCTATTCTAACTTTGAACAATTGCTAAATGAAGCAGTCCTTGAATGAAGACTATCTGTATAAAAAAAATCTGGCAAAGTTTTCTTTTTTGCCAACATCTTATTTCTACTATATTAGTTAATACTCTTCACCAACAAAGAATGTCTCTATTTTATTCTAAAAGTCTAAAACGGAATATAAATAGAAGAGAACATATAAAATAGAAAGCTGTATTGCATTTGCTATAATACTAGGAGGTATATTATATGTGCTTACCAGCAAAGCAGTCTTCTGGCCAACTTGTTCAGCAAAAGAAAAGTTTAATTACATGCGTAGATTTTCTTAACATCCCTTACAGATTACTTCAGCCTATTCTTACTATCAGAACTATAATAGTTAATTTTGCATCTTTCTAGCATAAAAGTGATCACATTCCCATTTAAAACTCACGAGAAGAGATGGGCAGCATCACTGTGTTCAGGAAGAGACTCTTGACGATACTTCATAAACTCTCTCAGTGTCTCTAGGGAATCTTCATCAGTCTGGATCTTATCCCCTGATGCCCATGTTTCCATGGCAACCAACACGATACGAGTGTTCAACTGCTCCTTAAAAATCTGTGACCCAACATAGATTGTTTTTAAAGATGGGGACTTTCCCCCTTCCATATATGTGATACAATGGTGAAATCCTCCGTGGTTTGCCACTGGTTCGCTGCCCGCACATTCACAGTACGCACCAAATGTACGCTGTGTGCGCATGTGCAGTATGCACCAAACACATGCTTCACACAGAAAAAGGAGGCTTAAGTAGGTAAGTAGAAGGGGGGGGGGGAGGAACAGTTGTGCCGTGTGATTTAGATTCACTAGAAAAAAGGATTTCCTGCTTTCTATTGAATATAAATCACGTGGCATCACTGATCGTTGGAAATACCGGTTCGAATGAACCAGTAGCATTTTTTTACTACCAGTTTGTCCGAACTGGTAGCTTTTATTACTACCAGTTCGCCTGAACCAGTGCGAACCGGTAGCATTTCACCCCTGATGTGATATCCTTCCCATTTTCCAAAGCAGCCATAATTTTCCAAATGTACCCTTGAAGTCAAATGAAGATTAAAGCAATTTATTTCGTTCCACAATTTATTTTCATATCTATTTTTTGGGGGGGGGATTAAAATTACTTTGAATATTGTAATATTATAGTTGTTGTTTTATTATTGACATATTTCTCTCTTGTTTACTAAGATGTTGAAAATAAGATGATTTCTGTTGTGAAGCTGATTGTATTTGACAGTAATACTGAAAACTCAGCATTTTGGGGAAATAATTCCCATTAAAATTACACAAATTATAAAAGTTGAATTCCTAGTTGCAATTTGAGACATTTATATTAAATTTTACCAATACATTCAATCCTTCAAAGCATACTGAATTAGCTTTGTATGTGTTAGCTGTTACAATGAAATTATATTCTTCTCATTAGAAACAGAGAAAGAAGAAATCTTGAATAATATTGTTTAAGATTGAGTCTAAATATTTAAATGTAAGAAATAAATTTTAATAAGAATTATTTTTAAAAAATACAAATTTATTCTAGACATCAAAGGACACTCTCACAATTTGGCTAGCCATTCTTTCCTTGAAGGAATCAAAGGCATATAAAATGTGGGGTTTTCTATGGAGAATGTCTATATTTGGGAAATTAAATTCACTCTATTACATCTTATAATTTTAATTACTGATTTATGCTATACGATTTTTATTAGCTTAAAGCTTAATAGTTATTAATTTTTTCTTTAAAAGCTGATACATTTTGTAATTTCATAAATAAATAATATTTTAAATAAGAACTGTAGTCTCCAAGGCAATTTAGATCACATTTACTTATTTGTATCTTACTATTAGTATTTTGCTTACCTACCATTTAACACATATTTTATCTCTCCTTGTCTATAATTCTTTATTTAAACTGTTTACTGATTTAAAAAAAAAACAAGTGAAAAACTTTGCTCAACATGTTTGCTCAACTAAATTTGCATTTCTTAAACTAATTATGAGAATAAAAATAGTTGTCCTTTGGCATGTCATCATCATCATCATCATGTGCAGAACATATTGGGCAGCAAGTGTTTTCCAGTGGTTTTCAATCATTTGCAGCATCTTTGGCATCATCCCTAGGGACACTAATAATCTTAAGATCTTTAAGTTCCCTGAGGCCAGCCTTGTTTCTTCTTTCCTCCAGGAGATATCCAACATAGTGCAATTTTTGGATGCTGGTCTTTAGGCATACATAAGACATATCAACAAGCTGCATTTGGCGTTCAATCACAGTTCTCAATAGATGTTCTAAATCTAATCTTTGTAGTACCTCTTTATTAGAAATGTGGTCACAATATGAGGCATAGAGGATTTTTCTCAAGCAGCGTTATTGGAAAATTTTTAACTGTTTAATCATTCTGATTGTACACTTCCACGTTTCACAAGTATATATTGGCATGTACTAGGTATGAAAACGTCTGTGTCAGGGAAACATTGTCTAAAAATTATTGTGGATACTTGAAAGCCAATGGTTATGTGTGCTTACGCATTTAGCTTCAGTGTGTTGTGGAAATGAGATGCTAGGATTTAAGACTACATATATGTGAGAGTGATCTAGAGATTGATCTAGAGTGATCAATAGACTAAGTCGCTTAGTTGTACCTGATGGTGACCTATAGAAGGGGCCCATCATGGATTCCTCTGCATCGGGCCAGATTTTCCCTTCTTTCATTCTCAATTTATTTTTGCATGTAATTTTTGGAGAAAACTGTAATGTACTCCACACTCACCACATCAGCAAGGTTTACCACAGACTTTGCAAAGTTGCTGGTAAGGCTGACTGAGCGACGCATTTGCTCAAACTGGAAAAGAATAGATATAGAACAAATAGTTTCAGGAAGCTCACCCGTCATCTGATGAAACCTGAGGCTGAAGCAGTCTAGTGAGGGTCTTCCCGTTCTCCACCCTTTCTTCATGAAATGACTTTCCCCAACTTAAAAAAGCAGCCATAAGGTCAATTCCACTCTTAACACATCTGTACATTCATGGAAATGATTATCTTCTTAGGCATGAACTTTTATCATGTTTGCACAGAAATAAGCCCATGTAAATAATTTCCTGAAACTTGTATTAAATTGTTTGTTTGTTTGTTTGATTGATTGATTGATTGATTTCATATGCCACCCATCTTACTGCTGCAGCAACTCCATGTAAAAATGTAAAAAAAAATAATATTAAATGATTAAAATTAAGAACAAATAAATGGAGGTTAAAAATCAAGTGGACAGGCAAAACAAGAGTGAAGATTTTTTCTCTACCCTACCAGCCACTCCCAGCATAAGGCATTCCTATCAAGTACCCGAGCAGAGCCAGGTTTTAAAGCTCTTCTTAAAAGGCCAGGAGGGTGGCCCACCTCACCTCTGGCAGGAGAATATTCCAAAGGACAGGGGCCACAAAGGGTTTTTCTTCTGGATCCCACCAACCATAAATTCTTGGGTAGATAGGATCCAAAAGACATCTTTTGTTCCTGACGGAGCTTGGGCCGTTTCCTGAGACTCTAACACACGACTCGACTGAAGAACTGGTGGCCGCCTGGGAAAGGGCGGCCGCTGGAGCTTTGGACCGCGTCGTGCCTTTGCGGCCTCTGACCCGATGCCGATCTCAATTAGCTCCTTGGTTCTCTGAGGAGCTGAGAGAGATGAAGCGTCGGAAAAGACGCCTAGAGAGCATTTGGAGGACTAGTCAATCCGATTCTGACCGGACACAGGTGAGGTCTTATATCAAGACCTACCTAGTGGCGATAAAAGCGGCAAAATCTAACCATTTTTCCGCTCTTATCGCATCTGCAGAGAACCGCCCAGCTGCCCTGTTTAGGGTGACCCACTCCCTTCTTCGGGGGGGAGTACGGGAAGATCCCTTGCAGGGTCGTGCTGAGGATTTTGTGCAATTCCTGCATGATAAAGTCGCTCGGATTCGGGATGGCTTGAACTCCGATTGGATGAGTCCACGGGAGGAGACGAGGGCAGGTCTTGAGAATGTTATCTGGGAGGAGTTTGATCCTGTGACTCCCGAGGATGTGGACAGAGTTCTGGGTAAGATTAGTGCCGCCACGTGTTTATTGGACCCGTGCCCCTCCTGGTTGGTACTGGCCTCCCGGGAGGTTACACGAGGCTGGCTCCAGGGGATTATAGGTGCTTCTCTGAGTGAGGGTGCCTTTCCTGCCGCCTTGAAAGAGGCGGTGGTGAGACCCCTCCTCAAGAAGCCTTCCCTGGACCCGGCTGAATTAGCTAACTATCGTCCAGTCTCCAACCTTCGTTTTGTGGCGAAGGTTGTTGAGAGCGTGGTGGCACGACAACTTTCCCGACACCTGGATGAAGCTATCTATCTAGACCCGTACCAGTCGGGCTTCAGGCGGGGGTACAGCACAGAAACGGCATTGGTCGCGTTGGTGGATGATCTCTGGAGGGCTCGGGACAGGGGTTGCTCCTCTGTCCTAGTCCTATTAGATCTCTCAGCGGCTTTTGATACCATCGACCATGGTATCATGCTGCAGCGGTTGAGGGGGTTAGGAATAGGGGGCACCATTTTGCGGTGGTTCTCCTCCTTCCTCTCCGACCGCTCGCAGTTTGTGTTGGCAGGGGGACAGAGGTCGACCTCGAGGCGTCTCACATGGGGGGTGCCGCAAGGGTCAGTCCTCTCGCCCCTCCTGTTCAATATTTATGTGAAGCCGCTGGGTGAGATCATCCGTGGTTTTGGGGTGAAGTGCCATCTGTACGCTGATGATACTCAGCTGTACATCTCCACCCCAGACCACCCCAACGATGCCCTTGATGTGATGTCTCGCTGCCTGGAGGCCGTGCGGGTCTGGATGGGGAAGAACTTGCTCAGACTCAACCCCTCCAAGACCGAGTGGCTATGGCTTCCGGCGCCCCGATATAGTCAGCAGGTGCCATCGCTAACTATTGGGGGTGAATCTCTGCCCCCCACAGAGAGGGCTCGCAATCTGGGTGTCCTTCTGGATGCACGGCTGTCTTTAGAAGAGCATATGACGGCCGTGGCCAGGGGGGCCTTTTATCAGGTTCGCCTGATTCACCAGTTGCAGCCCTTTCTGGATCGGGACGCCCTACGCACGGTCACTCATGCCCTTGTTACTTCCCGGTTGGACTATTGTAATGCTCTCTACATGGGGCTCCCCTTGAAGAGCACTCGGAGGCTCCAACTGGTCCAGAATGCGGCTGCGCGGGTGGTTATGGGCGCAACTCGTTGTGCCCATGTGACACCCCTCCTGTGCGAGCTGCACTGGCTCCCAGTGGTCTTCCGGGTGCGATTCAAGGTGTTAGTTACCACCTTTAAAGCACTCCATGGCATAGGACCCGGGTACCTCCGAGACCGTCTTCTGCCACCAATAGCCTCCCACCGACCAGTCCGTTCCCACAGGGAGGGTCTCCTCAGGGTGCCGTCAACCAAGTTATGTCGACTGGCGGCGCCCAGGGGGAGGGCCTTCTCTGTGGGAGCCCCATCCCTGTGGAACGAACTGCCCCCGGAAATTCGTAAGATCTCTGACCTCCGGGCGTTTTGCTGCGCACTGAAGACCCTATTATTCCGCCAGGCCGGACTAACAACACAATAGTTTTTAAATTGGGATATTTAAATTTATTGGGGTTTTAAATCTGAGCCACTTTATTTAATTATTTTAAATTTTATATTGTTGTTTTGTTTGTGTTTTTAAACAGGCTGTACACCGCCCTGAGTCCTTCGGGAGAAGGGCGGTATAGAAATAAAATTATTATTATTATTATTATTATTATTATTATCTTCTGCTGAAATAAGTAGGATAGGCCAACCCCATTGGGAGAGACATCATCTTAGATACTCTGGACCAGTGCCATAAAGGCCTTTGAAAAAGATAACCAACTCCTTGAACTGGATCCAGAAGCAGATTGCAATCAGTGCTGCTTACAAATAGTGCTGTGAGATGGTCCATCCAAGAGCCTCCAGAACTGTCTATGCCGCTGTGTTCAGTATCAGTTATAGCTTCTGAATATATTTCAATGGCAGCCTCCTGTAGAGAATCGGGTTACTGATTCCCTTTAACTTAATAATTCCAAGATTTTCTAGCCCCATAATGGCAAACCTATGGCACGCATGCCACAGGTGGCACGCAGAGCCATATTGGTGGGCACGCAAGCTCAGCTCCAGTGAGACCAGAAGTTGGCAAACGGGCCATTTCCGACCTCCAGAGGGTCTCTGGGGGTGTGGGGAAGCTATTTTCGCCTTCCCCAAGGTCTTAGAAAGGTTCTGGAGCCTGGGGAGAGAGAAAAACGGGCCTACCGTGCCCACTGACCCATCACATGCCAGGAGTGGGGGGGTGCGCTTGCGCGGGGGCGGAGCACATAGAATTATGGATGTGGGCACACGTGCACATGATTCCCCCCCCCACTCCTGGCACGCAATGGCAAAAAGGTTAGCCATCACTGTTCTAGCCAAAGTGCCTTCTCTAACCAAAGCAGTACTCTTTGATCACATCTTTAGCTGAGCAAGTGTTCAAGCACTGATCCAGTTTTTTGCTTGGAATAAAGAAGTTTCATTTGAATCAAGCTCAACTGCTGTTGATAAAAAGCCAATTCCTGCTTGAATGTTGATAACTTTGGGGACATATCAGATATTTTTAAATTTCTCAGTCTGGTCTTCAGGTCGAGTATTTCCTGATAGTATAATTATTTAATTAATTACTAATTAATTCAGTAAGATAGGCCAAGGAAATAGACTACATTGGGATATCATAATAATAACTTAGAAGAAGGCAGTGTCAAACCATTTGAACTGAATCGCTTTGATAATGAGATGGAGGCATATACATTTAATAAATAAATATTTCATAGTTGCCCCTTATAGAGGAATCCATAAAGTCAGAATTAAGAATTCAGATTAATAGCAACATTATTGATAAATCATCTCTTAGTGGTCTTTAATTTACCAGTTTCTGTTCAATATTGAGAAAGAACTTTTCATTATACATGTTATTTCATCATTGTTATTTGAACAGGACAGGGAAGAATAACATCATTTTGCATTTTAAAAATATATTTAAAAAACCCCCATAAATTAAAGGCCCCTATCACAATTTTGAATAATTGTCTATTTAAGAACAATTATCAGGGATTCATTAGTAATGCTGCTCTGAATGCATAGCACTGAACAAGAGTAAGAACTGAAACAAAACAAACAAATTACCAATGGAAAGCTTGAGTGTACTTTATCAATCTACACTGGTCATACTGACAGTGTAATTATATTGACCCAGCAAGCTCAGCTGATGGACAGTTTATCTGAATTGCAAATGGCATTGTGGAAGAGATCCTAACAGAGATATACTGACCAATTTATAAACAAGAAAAAGAAAAGAAATCAGACTTAAGACACTGAAAGGAAAAAATGTTCTGATCATTATTTGCCAAATTGCTCAAAGAAACAGGCCTGGCAGGCAATTCATTTGCTTCTCTCCACAAAGCATTTTAAAGGATCTGCAATTACAAACCCATCCATATTTGTCTTTCTAAGCCATTATCAGTACTCACCAGTTGGTGGTCATTAACAATTATCAATTCAATGAATTTGGTCTCACTGTGGACAGTCCGATGACCTCGGTGAACCTGGCATGGGAAGAAGAAGATACATTTACATTGGTAACTCTCCTGCTCTAAGAAGAAGTTCCCCATTCATGCCCAGGAACATATTTCATACACAGGCCTTTGTATTTTCCCATATTCTTTCTCCTTACATTTTATAGTAAGGAAGCTCAATCAGAAGATTAGATTCCACCAATCTTCCACAACCTAGTGCTATTTAGATACAGCTTAATTCCTGCAGATTGTTAAGCATTAAGAGAAGCTTAATACATCCAACGAGCAATTGGAAAAAGTTGGTATATACTACACATCAAGCTTTCTAAGTTGTGAAATGCTATAAAACTTTAAGGCATTGTATATAATCAGTCAAAACTAACCCAAACATGAAAAATCATACAGCACTTCCATACCTCTCTTTTCAATAACAATTATGCAATTTAAAAGTAAAGGTTCCCCTAGCACCGTGATGGTGAACCTATGGCACGCATGCCACAGGTGGCACGCGGAGCCATATTAGTGGGCACGCCAGCTCAGCTCTGGGGCGCATGCGCGTGCCGGCCAGCTGATTTTCGGGCTTTCTGGGCCCACCAGAAGTAGGGAAACAGGCTGTTTCCTGCCTCTGGAGGGCCTGGGGGGGGTGGGGAAGGCCCGTTTTTTTTTTTCTTACCTGGCTCCAGATCCTCTCTATGTATCTGGGAACGGCGAAAACAGCCTTTCCCACTTCCTTGGAGTCCCTACGGAGGCTCAAAGGGCCTATTTCCCCACTCCCAGTGGGACAGGAAGTGACGTTTTTTCCTGTCCCCAGCCTCCAGAGACTCCTAGAGAGGCTCCTACAGACTCCTAGAGAGGTTCTGGAGGCTGGGGACAGCAAAAAATGTCACTTCCTGTCCCACCGGGAGTTGGGAAATGGGCTTTTTCAGCCTCCGTAGGGCCTCCAAGGGAATGGGAAAGGCTGTTTTTGCCGTTCCCAGATACACAGAGAGGATCTGGAACCAGGTAACAAAGAAAAACGGGCCTACCAGGCCATCATGTGCCAGGAGCGGGGGAAAGGGGAGGGGGAGGGGGTTGCGCACACATGCGCGTGGGCACATGCGCGCGTGACCCTCCCCCGCCCCCCCTTTCCTGGCACGCGATGGCAAAAAGGTTAGCCATCACTGCCCTAGCACATATGTGCTAGTCGTTCCCGACTCTAGGGGGTGGTGCTCATCTCCATTTCAAAGCCGAAGAGCCAGCGCTGTCCGAAGACATCTCTGTGGTCGTGTGGCCAGCATGACTAAATGCCAAAGGCACACAGAACACTGTTACCTTCCCACCAAAGGTGGTCCCTATTTTTCTACTTGCATTTTTACATGCTTTCGAACTGCTAGGTTGGCACAAGCTGGGCCAAGTAACAGGAGTTCACCCTGTTACGCGACACTAGGGATTTGAACCGCTGAACTGCCGACCTTTCGATCGACAAGATCAGTGTCTTTGCCACTGAGCCACCGCGTCCCCTATTTATGCAATATTCAGTGTAATTAATATTTTATTATTGCATTGGTTTTGTTCTCTTTCCTCTGGGAACTCAGGAATATATTCTATCCCTAGAATAACTCAGGGACATAGGTTGTGCTAAGTAAGAGATTATCTTCATACACTTAATGAACCTAGATTTTCCCAGTTTTAGTCCAACATGTTAAACGTGACACTATAGTACACTAATTGGGATACCTGCAAGCCTTGCTGCTTGGAATGTGAGAATTTATCTAGCTGCCATTTGTTATTCTAAAATAAAAATTTAACTACCATCCCAAAGTAGTAAAGGAATTTCTTCCAATAATGTTTTCAAGTGAAATAAACAACGATCTAATTTGTTTATCTTATTTATTAGATTTTTATCTTGCCTTTATTACTTTATAAGTAATTCAAGGCAATTGCCCATCTGTGTTTTCATGGCTAAAACAGGACTAGAATTTAAGAGTCTCCTGGTTTCTAGACCAGCACTGTCAGAATATCCATGAACTGGAATGGAGACATGGTAACAAGGTCAGGCAATGAATAGGTATAGCAACTGGATCAGCCAAGAGGAGCTGAGAAAGGAAGGAGCCTGGGCGTGGCTCTGTAGCTTTGAGTGCTGTGCTGAGAATTGAAACTGAAACTAGACTGCTGAACTGCCTGTGTTTTTGCCTGTAACTCTACCATGTTGAAGAATCTGCTGTTGGTATTGTATGTGTTATTTTATATATAAAGAGAAGTTAATGAATCCTGCTGAATCAGTTACCTGTGTGTGCTTTCTGGATTTGATTTTTGCAACAAACTGATAAGCACCCTTAAAAAAATATAAAAATGTAAGGGAAGAGAAGTTAACCTGCTTTGTGCTATCCATTTAAAAGAATAAATAAATGGGCCAAGTTAGACAACTGAAAACTTACAAAATTTTCCAAATAACAGTGCTTAATTTGAATAGGCAGTTTACCAGTACTTATAAAACATGAATGCAAATAAATAACTTCTATGCTTATGAACATTTTCTTGTTCTTTGAAAAGTGTAAGTGGCCAGTAATAGATTGCTTAGCATAGTATTACCTCTGTGGGAGAAAGAGAACATGAGATCTTCCCTATATTTTGAAAAATTTGTGACAGTTCATAGAGTATGGGGACTCTGAGATTTTTAGATTGACGTGTGAAAAGTATTAATGCTGCTTATGTCTGGTCTATACTGAATGGGAAGCAAACTCCATGAAGATAACAGAATAACAGAGTTGGAAGAGATTTTGGAGGTCTTCTAGTCCAGGGGCCCCAACTCTTAGGCCACAGCCTACTGCCAGGCGGCGGCCTGTTTAAAACCGGACTGCACATGCGATGGGCAAGCATGTGTGCAAAGCTCCACTCACGCGAGCAGTGGGCAAGCATGTGCACACGAAGCTCCACTCGCATATGAATAGAGCTTTGCATACAAGCACTTTCCTCTTGCACAAGTGGAGCTTCACACGTGCAAGCACCTTCTGCTCACGCCAGGCTGGGCTGCCAAGGTGGAAAGGTTGGGGACCGCTATTTTAGTCCAATCCCCTGCTCAAGCAGAAGACCCTACAATTTTGGATAAATGGCTGTCCAGTCTCTTCTTAAAAACCTTCAGTGATGGGACAACCACAAGTTCTGGAGGCAAATAGTTGCACTGATTAATTGTTCTCACTGATAGGAAATTTCTCCTTAGTTCTAGATTGCTTCTCTTCTTGATTAGTTTCCATCCATTGCTTCTTGCTCTGTCTTCAGGTACTTTGACCCCCTCTTCTTTGTGGCAGGCCCTCAGATATTGGAAGACTTGCTTTCATCTCACCCCTAGTTTTTCTTTTCACTATTTTATTTATTTATTTTTATTTATTTATTTTATTATTCATATTTCTATGCCAGCCACTCTCCAAGGACTCTGGGTGGCTTACACCAAAGACAGTATACTAAATAGCATATTGCCCCCAATAATCTGGGTTCTCATTTTACCCACCTCGGAAGGATGGAAGGCTGTCAACCTTGAGCCAGTGAGATTTGATCTGCTGAACCAGCAGTCAGCTGAAGTAGCTGCAGTACTGTCCTCTAACCACTGCGCCACCTCGGCTCCCTAGGCATAACCAATTCCTGTAACTATTTGTCATATGTTTTAACCTTCAGCCCCCTAATTATCTTTGTTGCTCTTCTCTGCACTCTTTCCAGAGTTTCAACATTTTTTATATTGTGGTAACCAAAACTGGATGTACTATTCCAAGTATGGTCTTACCAAGGCATTATAAAGTGGTACTAATACTTCACATGATCTTGATTCTCAATTGCAGAAAAAGATTGGTATGGACCATCCCAGCTTAATAGGTCATGCTAGGAATCTATGCATTAAAAAATTGTGCTCTGTTTTTTAGGTACAGTAAATTCATATTCTTGGTCTTCTGCTTTTAAAACTGATGATTACTGCCATGTAGTAAATTTACCTGTCTTCGTCGACGCAGTTTAGGAAGCCCAGGAGGAATGTAGTAGTTCAATGCAGAAAATAAACAGCCTGGGAGAAAAGAATACATATTATATATTGGAGAGGGATATCATATATGGAAAAATAGGTAATCAGATTTTCAGATATTTAAACTGGGACAAAAGATGTGATCAGACAAGGGACAGTATAGTAATCTATATATGCTGATTTATAACCTTATGGTACCATTCTGATACAATTATACTAAAATATCTAGCATAACTACCTGTTACCAATTTATGATATGATTTCTTCCAATCATGCCGGTTGAGATGACTGACAGAAGAAATCATTTTAATGCTCACTACCTATTGGAAGAAATATTTTTGCTGCTTTCTATTCAAACTCAGTGCAAAAACACAAGAGATAGTTGTCATCTTCCTTTCAGAAAACATGTCTTAAGCTAAGTGTCAGAGCTATCTATATCAGGTCTGCAGAGTTATCTATATCAGGTCATCTCAACCCATCTCCCTTCTTTGGTAAGAAAAAATCCTGCCAACAAATAATTGGCTATATGTTTTCATGGAGCCTCAGTGTATGCAAAGCATATAGTTAACAGAAATCTAGAACAGTCTGTCCCTGAAGTTTTCAAAATTCCATAGATAAATCTCTATTACTGGATGCTCAAAGACATTACAGACTGAACCTATTTATTGTGAAGATCAGAGCACTCTGGCTATAAATACTACCTGGGTTGCTCATAGGTAAAAAACATTTTCCTAAGAGGTGAGAATAGGCATGGTGGGGGTTGATGAATTAGATTCTTTGCCCTTTAAAGTTTTAAAATAAGGCCAATAATTACCGGTATTATTTAATTAGATCTTCTTTTCAATTTAGCTAATGTTTAGTTCTAATTTTGCATGACTTTTCATACACCATACACACTGTTCATTTTCAGTAAGTTGTGTCCCGGAATTCTTAACTGTATTTATTTTTCACAATATCAGGCAAAGGAAAACCATTTCTTTCTGAACAAAAGATTTACCATATCTCCAGTGAGAGACAGTACTGTAAACTCCAATTATTCTTTGGGGTGTTACCAGGAAAAAAATGCAGTTTCTCCATTCCAAAATGAACATAATCAAAATTAATTTGAGAAATGTTTTTTCTCCAACTGGAAAAATGGCCTGAATTCTGAAGAATCCTGGGGTAGTATGTGGTAGAAATCTAAATCGGAAATGTCTTGTTTGCAAGAAGCATTGAAGACTCTGGGTAGTCTTCACGTGTTAAAGTAAGCTTAGTATTAGATTCTATATGCATGTGAATGGCACTTCAGGTAACTTAATAAAATAGCAAGTAGCTCAAGGTCTATACTGAGAACCAATACTGTGACTTCTGAGTTAAAATCAAGGTTATCCGGCCACAAAGGAAATTTTTCAACTGGCTACATATTCCATTAGACATTGGGGAGAAAAGGCTCAGGCTATTCCTTGAAGAGTGTTCAGCAGTTGCAATTAGAGTAAAATATAGCAAAGAATTGGCTATGATTGATCCACAACTTGCACTTGCCTACCTTTTATGAGGGGTTTTTTGGGGGGAGGGGGGAAGTAATTTTAGTTTAAGTTTTTTTATTTGATTTTAAAGATTATTTTGTTTTTACTGTTTTTCTATATTTTGTTGGTTGGTTGTTTTGAAATATTGTGTTGCCCAGTCACAAATGTGAGATAGTTGACTATATAAATTGAATAAAATTAATAAATAAAATAAAATAATTAAAATAATAAAATAAAATAAAATAATAAATAAAATAAAATATCAAATCTATTCTCCGCTTTAAATGCAGAAGACTTCTTGTGTTTCTTTCAGACTATGAAACATTTTCCTTTGAAAATCCCATCATTTCTTTAAACAGGCTTACAACTATTCGATGATTATGCTATCTATTTTATTAGGAAGTTTAATCTGGGTTTTTAATGGTTTTTTTAAAGATTAACCATCTTAAGTACACCCAAAGGAAAAGAAAACAGATGAAAATAAAATACACCAAGAAACAAATAAATAAGTCAGGGGGAAAGATTGGCAATGAAACACTCATTGAGGATGCATTTGTATCTCAGTAGTCAACAGAAATTAAATGCAGCAGATGTGCATTAGAATACATGTAATTTATTGAGATTATGATAAGAACAGAATTCCAAAAATTTAAAGGAATGCAATGATAAAAGCTGGAAACTCATTTACCCCAATTCCAAAATTAATTACAAGGCACCAAAATCTCTTGATAGAAAGGCATGTTTACCTGGTTCTGTGCAACCACGGGACATGCGAGGTACTGGTGTCTGGTTGATCTGGTGAGGAAGTGGCTCCTGCTGCAGGGGATTAAAAAAAGAAAAAAATATTGCCACAAAAAGCATGTATTTACATTGATATCAGGCAATATTTAATTCACTTCCGTTTAATTAGAATATTCATAGTATTGTTATTTATGTAAAATCCTTTACCTTTTTTTTACTAATGTATAGGAAGACTAAAACCAGACTGCCTATATCCTTGTCAGAATTGTGCAATTTCATTCATTAAACGCCCTTTTTATGTCACTATAATCCCTTAATTCAAGGTAGAGTTTGGGCGACTGGATAGAGATGAACTTTTTTTTTTCTTGTACCTTAAGAGACAAACATCTGCCAACTCCCTAGGGCCGAACTCTCAACCTTCCGAATGGGAGGCAGAAGTCTCCACCACTAGACCACCACGCGGCTCATTGCAATTTCATTCACTCTTGGGTCTATATTAAGATAATTTTTCAGACAATCTGTGAGAGTTGAATGAATTAATCAGAATAGGAAGGATCATGATAGCAAGTTTCTTCCTTTACATATATCTATTTAAAGGCCTAACGAAAATGTGCTTACGTGTAATTCATTCATATTACTTATACTCCAAACAAGCAGGAATTTAAAATCGCACTGAAAGATTCTTTGCTTTTAAAATGCTTTCAGTTCTCCAGACAAATGTATATTGTTTGGAAAGATAACATAAGTTGCTACCATAGTTCCAATCTGCACTGATTTTCATTACACTATAATCTTGAGCTGAAAAGCCAAATGTGAGGGGCAATTCTAATGTCCCACATAGCCATAGTAACAATGGAAGACTTTTTTTTTTGGTAATCTGTGTTCCACATAGTGTCTTTGCCTTGTTTCAGAAGATGCCTCCAGGTGTATACTCTCATGCTGTATGCAATAGTTAAACTGATATATTTTTGGCTCAGTTGCTACCATATCTAGAATTGGTCAAAGGCAAATTTTCCATTTGCACTGATAAAACTGAAGAATTTATAGGCATGCTATTTTCCATTAGTTAGACTGTACCTCACCTTGACTCCAAGGTCCTACTCAAACTAAATTATTCCTGCTTCTCATAGAGAAAAAGCAACAACTTTTTTTTTCTTTACATCACCAAGTATATGAGTGCAACCTGCTGGTATTGTACTGATTGAATGCCATTAACCCGAGCCTTCTAGCGGACAACTGGTAGGAAGAACTGATTGGCTCATGCTGTGTTCAGCTTTTTGAGTTCGGTAGAAGTGAAAATTACTGCAAATCAGCTCCAGGCTGCTTTTGAAGGATTGGGGAATGGAACCATGGTGTTGTAGAAAGGTCCCTATTTAGCAATTAACCATCTCTTTCTCTAAGCATCTCCTTTTAGCTCTCCTCTCTGAATTTCTCCACAATAAACAGCATTTGTTTTTGTTTTTTAATCACATAATGCAAAACTGCTTTTCTTTTCTTTTTCTTTTTCAATTTCTCTGTGTACAATAAAGATTGCTACTGCCTCATTTTTTTACAATCTCATTTTTCAGCCTTCCCCTCTATGTATGGCATAGAGTATTGGCCTCTCCTTGCCATGCTACCCCATCACTTCTATACCAACATAGCATTATTTTATTTTTCAGAGCCTCATAGGTCCATTTGCAACAAACTGCATCATACTAGAGCCGTGATGGCAAACCTATGGCACGCATGCCAGAAATGGCATGCAATGCCCTATGGGCATGCGAGCCATCGCCCCAGTTCAGCTCTGCCACACATGCGCGCATGCCTCCTACCGGCCAGCTAGTCTTTGGGGGGCAGGGCACATGTGGGAGGCGTGCAAATGTGCAGAGGTGAGGCGCATGAGCAGGAGCCAGATATGCATTGCATTTTGGGGGTTTGGTCGTGTGGGTGCGCATTCTCAGGCACACAGGCATGCATTCATGCATGCCCTTTGGACACTCAGTCTGGAAAAGAGCCATCACTATACTAGAGCTAAGTGAGACATTTGTTAAGTGAGTTTTGCTACATTTTATAACCTACCTTGCCACAGATTTTAAGTGAATCACTGCAGTTGTTAAGTTAGTAACATGGTTATTGAGTGAATCTGCTTTCCCCATTGACTTCACTTGTCAGAAGGTTACAAAAGGTGATCACATGACCACAGGATACTGCAACCATCATAAATACGAGTCAGTTGCCAAGTCTGAATTTTGATCATGTGACATTAGAATGCTGCAATAGTTGTAAGTGTGAAACGGTCAGAAGTTACTTTTTGCAGTGTTGTAACTTTTAACAGTCATTAAATAAACTGATTTAATAAACTGGAGGTTAGTAGAAAAGAACAGGCTAAAATTTGGCTGGCTGATTTGTATTGAACAGCCCCAATAAAGACCCAACACCACCTAAGTCCAGAATCATACAAAGTTAGCAAAGAAAATAATTTCCCCAGTGGCAAGTGGCAGGGAAACATGCAAAAGTGATCAGAGTTAATGACTTATTGGAGGGAATAGGGTTGGGGCCTGGAAACAAGTGATAGAACAAACTAAAATTCCTTTCAAGTTTTTACTGCTCTATTCAGCAGGCATCATAAAATGAAAAGTAAATGCCTATACTCTAAATGCCCATAAAACTATGAACATCTTACCTTAATATCTTGATTGTACTGGTCTTTTTTGTCTTCTACACTGAGTTATTATATTGTCGGGGAGAATTAGTATGACTGCACTAATATGACAGATTTAACCACAATTTAACTCAAACCTGGCAACTTTAAGGTGTGTGGACTACATCTGATATTTCACACTATCTGTATTTCTTTTGCTTTTTTCTTCCCTATGTCATGTCCCCCCAGTTACAATATTTACTATTCCACTTTCTTCTACTTTCCTTATTGGGGAGTGGCTTGTAACAGTAACAGAGTTGGAAGGGACCTTGGAGGTCATCTAGTCCAACCCCTTGCTCACGCATGAGACCTGTACTAGGGATTTGAACTGCCAACCTTTCTGATCTACAAGCTCAGTGTCTTAGCCACTGAGCCACCTTGAAGCCATCCTACATCAGTCCTCAGTTCCTAAAGATATCCCAAGATGAATGTTTTATTCCAAATGGCACTAATTCTAGTCTCAGACAAAGGGACTGGGTTACTTATCTTTTCCCACTTGTCTCTACCATCCTGTTTGATCTAGCAGGAGGGGCATGCTCTGGATACTGTCAGTTAAGAAGTGTTGGCTCATGGGGTCCAGAAGAAGAGCCTTTTCTACTATGGGGCTTGCCCTTTGAGATATCATTCCCCACAAGATTAGACTGGTTCCATCCTTGCTGCCTTTCCATAAGGACTTGAAAACTTAGCTTTGTGCTCAAGCTCAGGCTCCTATGTATCCTACAGATACCATCTCCTGGCTGTATGGTTGGATGAGGCTCCAGTGCTCCACTATTATCTTTTTCATTTTTGTTTTTTCATACTGTGTATTTTATTCCAAGCTACCATGAGTCACATATGTTAGATGTGATATAAATTGAATAAATTAATTCAAGCAGGAATGACTCCATTATAAAAATTACATTACACAGCAAGGTTTGTTTGGAATGTTTTCTAGAAAAGCAGTTAAAATATCTATTAAAATGATAAATAAAATGTCTCAGGTACTAATAATAACCTCCACCATTTCACGCTCAAGTATAGCAAATATCTAGGTAGTGGTTAGCATTTGGGAAAATAAATGGAAAGGAATGAGCAAAGGCACTACTAAAAGTTGTTTATTATTATTATATTTTACTTACAGTAGTGGCCAAAATTGTGGAAACCTTTTGAGGTTTCATGGCTAATAACATCACTTTTTTTTTTAGTAGTACCATAAAATTATATATCAATGGAAAGATAATTTAATCAAGAATGTAATGCAATAACTTTTATGAAGGACTTGCTATTAGAATAGCAGCTTTTTTTTGTGGAATTCTAGATTTTAAGCCAAATTCCTGCAGTCTGCGCCGAACAGTCCTTGCACTCAACTTCACATTGCATTGCGCCATTTCATCTTGTATATACCCAAATGATTTTCTTGTGTCATATAAGATTTCTTAATTCTTCTATCATCACTTGCTGTTGTGCATCTTTTCCTGCCTTTACCAGTGTGGGTTTGTAGTGACTGAGTCTCCTTATACCTCTTCAAAAACTTAGAAATGCCACCTTTGGTTAAGTTTCCACCAATTTTTCTTCTAATTTCTTTATAACTGTAGCCTGGTTCACTTAATAATACTATTTTACATCGCTTTCTGGACGGCCAGTCAACTCTTTGCACCATTTCTTTAATTTTATTATGTTTTACAAGCTTACTAAATGAAAGAACACAAAAAACTCCAACCAACTTGATAGCAATCACATAACACACTGACAAATGTCCTCCTCTCACCTTTAATACATGACATCAATAACTGAATCCTAGTGTGATTTGATTGGCTCATTGCCAAAACAAGATGATACCTGATTGGCTCTCTAAACACTCATGCTCATTGGCTACAATCAGACGAAGGAAAGCTAGCTGATATCAATCTAAGCAAGTTGTGCTTCCTTTTTCTGGTTATTTGGCTATAACTTTTCATAGACTACAGATAATTGAACAAATGTTGTTGCATTACATTCTTGATTAAATTATCTTTCCATTGATATATAATTTTATGGTACTACTAAACAATAAACTGGTATTATTAGCCATCAAATCTCAAAAAGACACTTTTCCCAAAAGGTTTCCACAATTTTGGCCACTACTTTATGTTTTATTAGTAGTTTTTCTTCTACTTCGCTTTTTATATCTTTATTCTTCTGTTATTCCTCTTTATATTATCTGGCAAAGCTTATATGATACAAAATAATTTTTAAAACTTTTACAGGGTATGTGTAAAAAGAAATAATTGCTAGCATCACTACCCCTATTCTTGCTTTCATTTTTATGTTCAATTGTGTGCAAAGCAACCCCTGTGATGTTATGAAAGCCACAAAATTACTAAGCCATCTTTTCTCTTAAAGGACCTGAGAATTAATAGCGTGCGCATATAGCATAGGAATAGTCAAAGGATGGAAGCAAGAATTCCATCCATGAGAGATAAAAGCATTTACATGTTTTAGATATCTGAAACTTTGCAAAGGAAAACATCAGCTTTGCCCCAATTTTAGATAAACTAGTGAAAAGCCAAAAGAAGCATGAGTCAGTTCTCTCTTAGCCAATATTGTGAGATCTCACAGCTTTGGAACTGTTTCTAAACTGCTGAAAAGATTCTCTATAGAAGTGCCATATACACCAAGGTGTTATGTTTTTCAAGACTGAAGAACAGCCTGTTCATGCTTAAAAATTGTTTCTTTCTTACTGGTTTACCTATTACAATATTCAAACACCCTAATGTTGAAAATCAGTTTCTTATGTCAAGTTAGAGTTCATGTTTATGTTATCACAATTTCTTTTTTCTCCAATACTTTTTGGGTAAAATATTATAATGTTCTCCTACCATGTTTTTCATCGAGCAATCTCTAAAATGATTGATTGGAATAAAGCAATAGTAAAACATGTCTGCAAATTGAGATAGATGGGAAGTAAGAAGGTAGAGGAAGCAGATTATGGGGGGGAGGTGGTGGTATGCAATCTCCTTCCCTTTGCTGCTATGGTAACAACATTCAAAGAAAGCACCTTGAAAAACTCCTTATCATGGCTTTTACAAAAGAGTGGCTGCTGGAAATATGTTAGGCCAAGTTGTGGAGGGAGGAGAGCAGATTTAGAAGCTGCCTAAGGCATCTAGCACTATAAAAAATCCCAGTTTCTTTGGAACCAGATATGATATAGCTCCATATTGGAGCAGAAATTTTAGAATCTGAATATGGTATTTTCTTTAGTAACTGCTGGAGGATTTGCAACCATAATACCCCTTTGGGAGAAAGAAAGGCAATTTTAAAATCAATACAGTGATTGTAGTGTACAACAAAAAGTGTTGAGAAAAATAAAATACGCAACAATTTCTTGATAAAGGTTGGAGTTAATTAGCCCTGCGTGGGTCTGACCTCACAGTTTTAAAGCTGGCATTTTTCTCTCTTTCTATTACTATGCCAAGAAAGTATAAATAGAATTTATGTGTATTATTCTTATACGTCACTATTGCTTAAAACAACTGTGTACCTTGTAATTGTTATCTTTTATCCTAGGAACAACCTAGTGATGTCAGTTGGTCTGATGGATAATGGTTGCTGATATCCTTCAAGTGAGCTTTCTGGCTGAAGAGAGATTTGAATCCGGGCCTCTGCAATTCAATGCCAGTAATTTTGCCCAGACACCTCACTTTGACACTGACCCTGCCTTAGAATGGAGTCCCAATATCTACAGAAGTTTACAGGAGGGAAGAGAGCCAACACGAACTTCCTTTCACCTCTGGGGATGAAACACAAGTGAGGTATCTCCATGGCAAGTGATGGAATTACAACCCGGGCCAGGCTTTCCTTACCGCTTGATGTTCAAGTGAATCATGAGGTTTCAGGAGGTACACGTCTTTTCCATCAGAGAAAACACCACTGAAGAAGTGCAAAGAAATATGAAGAGGTTACATAAAACACAAAAGCAACTATAGTTACATTAGGAGGAAAAAATTAAGAAACAATATTCAGGCAGGCATTAGGACAAAGTTGCACGTTTCTAAACAGTTGCATGCTAAGCATTTCCATGAAGCAGTCATAGTTGACATTCTTTATTCCTCTCACTCAGGGAAATAAAAACAGAATCTGGACCAAGAAATGTCTATATGCAGATTATATGCCCTTAATAATTACTAGGAAATATTATTCACAGGTGCTAAACTCACCTTTTCGGTATGATAGAAGCCACAATTGCACCATGCTGACATCACCCCCAAGGCCACTCAGCATTGAAGTAGCAACTTTAATAAGGTTTCTGATTGATCAGAATTATTATTTTTTAAATGTCTATTATCAGAGTTATTAATTTTTAAATGTCTAAACTACTCCTTATCTATGAAGGATCCCAATATGACAATATCCAACTGTCAATTTAAAAAAACATAATACAGCCATACTGACTTTGGCTTTCTTTTTCATGGTTCCTTTTCCCATTTCACCATTCCTTACTTACTGTAGGCCATGGCAGGTAGATAAAGCCACAAAGGAGTTTGCTTCTCCACGGAGATTGCCCTGATAGTAACAGTGCTCACTTGTTCCCTAAAGGAGAAGTAAAAAACATAATGTCTTCTTTTATCTGCTTAAGTTCTTGTAATGCGAATTGGCTTGTTCTTCAATACAAGAAGCAAAATAAGCAACCAATTAGCAAGGGACAAATCAAATCTCTCCACCACAGCAGTACCATTCAGATTCTCTATGCTACTCCAGAAGTAAGAGGGGAGTATGTAGAAAATAGTGATTGATGTCCTCACTCACTCAAAGGATGGGTGGAATAAAGTATGTGCAGTCGGTTTATTGGAAATCAGAGAAATAGAGTATCCAACAGAGCAGGAAGAACGGAAACATTTTTTGAGGGGAAAGGGGAACTTGTTTAAAACATATTTCTTTAAAAGAAGTTTAAGGACTTAAAAACTATTTGAAACAAAGAGCCAAAGCATTATTTAGAAAGTAACAGATGGACTAAGAGTCCAGATATATTTGAAATATGAGTTTGGAATTAATTATAAAAAATCCTTCCCCTAGGAAAATACTTTTGTTTTTAATTCTTTTTTTTAACATAAGATTTTAAAAATTGTACACTAAATAAACTAGAAGCAAATAAGGTTACAATTAAAAGAGACAAACACTATGATCCGTTGTGGCAAAAAATACACAGAGAGATGGAAAATTGGAAAAAATTACAACTATCCTTGTTAGGAAGAATAGCAGCAATAAAAATGAATGTTTTGCCTAAGTTTTTGTTTCTTTTTCACATGATACCAATACTTTAAAAAGATGAAAATTTGAAGATATGGCAGAAGGGTATTAATAATTTTGTCTGGGCAGGGAAGAGACCAAGAATAAAACAAAAAATAATGCAGGATGCACGTGAAAGAGGAGGTCTCAAAATGCCCAATTTAAGTCTATATTATGAGGCAGCTGCCCTATCAGCAATGAGTGACTGGATGAACTCAACAGAAGAAAGAATATTGAATATTGAGGGATATGATTTGGTTTACGGGTGGCATGCTTATTTATTATATGATAAGAAAGTGGATAAGACTTTAAAAAGTCACATATTAAGGAATGCTTTATTGCGTGTCTGGAAAAAGTATAAGTATAAATTTATTTATTTATTTATTTATTTATTTATTTATTTATTTATTTATTTAATTAATTTCTATACCGCCTTTCTCCCGTAGGACTCAAGGCAGTGTACAGTCAAGAAAAACATAAAATTGCTAATTAAAATTATTATTATAACATAGTTTGGCCCAATTAAATAGAACCTAAAATTAGATAACATTTTAAAAACATTCACATGTTCATATGTTTAGCCCCGCTTGTTGGAACATCAGGGTCTTGAGGTCACGGCGGAAAGCACGGAGATCAGGGATATTTCCTATCTCAGGAGGCAGTTCATTCCAAAGGGTTGGAGCCCTCACAGAGAAGGCCCTCCCCCTGGGAGTCGCCAGTCAGCATAATTTGACTGACGGTACCCTGAATAATCCCTCCCTGTGAGAACGAACTGGTCGGTGGGAGACTATTGGTGGCAAAAGATGGTCTCGTAGGTATCCAGGTCCTAAGCCATGGAGCGCTTTAAAGGTGATAACTGACATCTTGAATCGCACCCGGAAGACCACCAGGAGCCAGTACAGCTCGCGTAGGAGAGGTGTTACATGGGCGCATCGAGCTGCGCCCATAATCACCCGCGCGGATACATTCTGGACCAGTTGGAACCTCCGGGTGCTTTTCAAGGGGAGCCCCATGTAGAGAGCACTACAGTAGTCCATATGGGAGGTAACTAGGGCATGAGTGACCATGCGCAAGGCATCCCGATCCAGAAAGGGACGCAACTGGCGGATCAGGCGAACCTGATAAAAGGCACCCCTGGCCACGGCCGTCAAATGATCTTCTAAAGATAGCCGTGAATCCAGGAGGACACCCAAGTTGCAGGCCCTCTCTGTGGGGAGCAAGATCTCATCCCCAATTGTCAGTGATGGTACCAGCTGACTATACAGGGACGCCAGAAGCCACAGCCACTCGGTCTTTGAGAGGTTGAGTCTGAGCTTGTTTCTCCCGATCCAGATCTGCACGGCCTCCAGGCAACAGGACATCACAGCAAGGGCATCATTGGGGTGGTCTGGGGTGGAGATGTATAGCTGTGTGTCATCAGCATACTGATGAACACTCACCCCAAAACCACGGATGATCTCGCCTAGCGGTTTTACATAAATGTTGAACAGAAGGGGTGAGAGGACTGACCCTTGCGGCACCCCACAAATAAGGTGTCTCAAGGTCGACCTCTGCCCCCCTGCCAACACAAACTGCGAACGGTGGAGGAAGGAGGAGAACCACCGAAGCACGGTGCCCCCTATTCCTAACCCCTCCAGCCGGTGCAGTAAGATACCATGGTCGATGGTATCAAAAGCCGCTGAGAGATCTAATAGGACCAGGATAGAGGAGCAACCTCTGTCCCAAGCCCTCCAGAGATCATCCACCAACGTGACCAATGCCGTTTCCATGCTGTATCGTGACCTGAAGCCCGACTGGAACAGATCCAGATAGACAATTTCATCCAGGTATCGGGGTAGTTGTCGCGCCACCACACTCTCAACAACCTTTGATAGAGAATATAAATGTAGAGCAAAAACAAGATGTGACTACATACAAAGAGCTCCTTAACAAGGAAAGAGGTATACTACAATTAAAATCTTTGAATCAACTAAGAGAAGAAAGGATAATTCAAACATGGTTTCAGTATGTACAGTTGCAAGCTAGATAGAGAGAAGATCAGAAAATTGATATCTTGCAAAATGAGGAGAACTTGGTAAAACAAATTAGAGATCAAAATCAAATGCATATAAAAAGGTTGTATAATGCATTGGTAGAAGTAGGTTCAGAAACGGAGTTAGTTAAGGACTGTATGATAAAGTGGGCACAAAGCATTGAAGAACCAATAATGATGGAAACGTGGGAAAAAATATGGGTTAGAAATGTGAAGTTTACGCAAGCCCAAAATTTAAGAGAGAATTTTTATAAAATGTTTTATAGATGGCATCTAGATCCTAAAAAGCTAGCCTGTATGTATCCAAGTGTGCAACCTAAGTGTTGGAGATATGAACGTGACGATGCCACGTATTATCATATATGGTGGACATGTAAAAAAATTAAGGCATTTTGGATAAAAATATGGTGGATTATTCAAAATATTATCAAAAAGAAGATAAAATTTACTCCACAGTTCTTTTTGTTAGGTATAATTACAGATTGTACTGTTATAGAGACTAAGTTGATTTTAAATTTAATAACAACAGCCAGACTTCTGGTGGCGCAGTATTGGAAGAAGGAAGACTTACCTACTATTGAAGAATGGACATTAAAAGTAGTGAATTTAGCAGAGATGGCAAAAATTTCAGCATATTTGAAGGACCATTCAAATGAAAGATATATATCGGAATGGAGAAGATGGATTGACTATATTCAAAACAAATATCAGACTAAAAAGCTTCAAATAGCTTATGAATGAAACCAACTTTTTCTTTTTGAATTATGTTTTGTTAGTTGAAAGGCGAGTTAAAGAGCAAGAGGGAATTAGGAGCCTACAGAAAGTTAGCATATTTTAGTTTATGTTTGTTAAATGTTATACCCTGTATTTGCTCTGGGAAGTCCGGGATGGGGGGAGGGGGATTGGAGGGAGAGGGGAGATGGGGGATGGGGGGTGGGTGGAGGAGGGAAGGGGAGAGGAAGGATGGGGAAAAAATTGTTGTAATTGATAAAACTTTTTAATAAAAAAAATAAAAGAGACAAACACTTAAATTTGACTTACAAATACAGAATGGAGCAAAATATTTTAATATTGGATATACTGAAGGATATTTTTAAACAATGGGCTCAGAAGTTAATTTTAACTGTGACTGCCACTATAGATAAGACTTTATTTAAAAGATATTATGGAAAGGAACAAGTTTTATCAGACAATACTGAGACCAATTTAAAAGTGGGTTTAATAATAGCATAGATGATATATTCATAATTAAAAGGGATATACAAAATAACAAATCAAGAGAGTAAGGCCAGATACATATTTTATGAAGATTTGAAAAATTTTATGAGCGGGGACAAAGAAAAAAATAAAAAGAAATAAACTTCTAGGATATTATTTGAAGTGACTAAACATCAGAAAGTTAGAAATAAATCTAAGAAATATAGAGTTGGTTTCTTTGATCAAGATTAAAACACATATATTGTTATCTCTATAACGACTCATGCACTTTTGATGATTGGAGTTGAAATGACGAGGTTTTAAGGATTTGTTTCTAAATAACAGATGGGATACGGGAATAAGAGATTATTTGTTTATTTTAAGAGAAGGTAATAAGTTATTTGGGGTGCTGAATATATACAACCCAGATTCAAGACTCAAGTCCTGCACGAGCTAGCAATTTGAAAGCATTTAAATGTGAGTAGATAAATAGGTACCACTTTGGTGGGAAGGTAATAGCGTTTTGTGCACTTCAGTGTATAGTCCTGCTGGCTACATGACCACGGAAATGTCTTCAGAAAACATTTGCTCCCTTGGATAAGAAATGGAAATAAGCATTTCTGACCCCTAGAATCAGACAAGACTCGGACAGGGAGAAATCTTTACCTTTACCTTTAATAAGTTATTAAAATTATTTATGCTTGTGATAAAGAGAGAAGCCATTTCTTTCTATATATCTTTTTTTCTTTACTATTATTTTTTTCTTTTCTTTTTATTTTTTGTATCTAATATTTTCTTTTTTTTTAGTTTGAATTAGTTTTTTGCTGCTGTAATTTGTAATAAAACTGCTATGAAAATAAGCAATAAACTGAATTTGAGGCTTTCCAAATGCAAATGGGTGCACTTTGCTGTTGGACAATGGCTCCTCCTGTGGATAAGATAAACAAATTTAATGACTTACGTTTTGTTATATCAAAGATGTGTGAGTGTTCAGTTGTATTTTTCTGGCACTAGGTTTTGTTTTCTTAATTATTTTTAATATTTCATATCCTTTGCTTTTTTGCATGCTACTATTTTAGGTAGCTCTTTTTTCAGAACTTGCTCTAAAGCAAATAGCTAAAAGAAATTGGTGGGTTTTTTAAAATTACATTGACATTATTTGGATATAACATTATTACAGCAGTAGAGATATAAATAAATGGTGATTTGTCTTTTAGTATATGCTAAATAAACTGAGTTAAATTTGTTTCATTTTGCTATTATTGTTTTAAATTAGTTGGTCATTAATCAAATAAATAAATACTACTACTGCTGTAATACAAAAAGTAAAAATTACAAAAAACAGCAAGGTAAAGTGGAAGAAGAAATTCAATTTCTTTGTTGTTATACAGTTACACTTACACATCTTTGCATAGCCAAAAAGAGAACAAATTTTTCAGAGTTGCCTGCATATGATAATTTACAAGCTTAATATAAATTTGGAAACATAATACTTCTCATCATAGCGGAAAAAACTATGACCAGATTATCATAATATCTGCTCAGTCAAGTCCACTGTTGAAAGATGACTTAAAATCCCTTGAACTCCTTTCATGTTCATGGCCTTAAGTATCGAAAATCTGGTCCTGACATCTGTTAAACAAAACATTTTCACATGTTCTCTCTGTGTGGACTGCATGACCATCTCATTTGAATGGGAAATGTCTTTCCCTGTCCTATATAATTCAGATCTTGATATTTCAGCTTTTGGGGAGATAACAAAGAAAGGATTAACATAGGATGGCTATGTAGAGATATAAGCTACACAGACATCAGGCAGAGGACTAAGGAAATTAGCTAAAGTCTTCTGAAATTATGGTGAAAAAGCTGAGTGAAGATTACAGGAACTAAGGCAAGAGATGACCAGAGAATAGATCAGAATGTATGCAGACAGGCAGACTCTCATAAGACTTTCCAATACTTTCCACTCTCCAGATATAGATTCCAGATGTTCTAGTTTTCTACTATCCAGTAACCTCCAGATGTGGTTTCTACCATTCAGTACCCTATGACTCCTATCATATTCAGGATTATTTAATTTAATATGAACAATAGTCCAACACTGTTGGAGAGTGAAGGAGGGCAGAGTGTTATTTTTCAGGTATGGTGTGGTAATGTTGAATGTACAGCTCAAAGAAGCATGGCATTTAAAATGTAAAATCAGTGTGGATAATATTGCACTTGAACAATATCATCAGCAGTGAAGAACAATAAATGATACTTGAAATGACATTAGCACACCAATACCCAGCTGTACCCTCTGTGCAAAGGCATGCCTGTCTGCTGACCTTCTTTTGCCTACTTATGTCTTTCTATGAAACAGTTCACAAGTGTCCCTGCACTGCCTGTTGTGTTCAAGGTTGTTGCAGCATGAGCAAGCAACGACCTCCCTCTCATGACTATTTATAGAAAACAGCATGGTTCAGGTTAGCTTAGACAAGAATGGGGGAAGCCATTGCTCCTGGCAAAGCAGGGAAATAAAGTGGATGGACTCAAGGATTGGCTGCAGCTCCTTGGGAGGCTGTGTGTGACCAACCACTTAGCAAGCACTTAGTATTATTGATGCTCTACTTGTGAGGCTTCCTTTTGCAGGGAGAGCAGGGCTATTTCTGGATCATCCATTCATTCTTTTTCAGACTCAGCATCTGCAATCTACATTTTTGCTTGGGCAGCTGCAAAGTACAACCAGCACCCCTCCCATCCACAATCTTCCCACTGCCCCACCCAGTTAGTTTTTTCATGTTTAACAGATGGGAGAATTAGCCTGAAATAAATGCAGGTCAAGGTCTTGTAACAATCTTCTCCCTCTACCCCCCTCTCCCTCCCTCCCTCCCCCCATCTCCGGATGCAAAGGCACTCTACACATATTTAAATATTAAGTCAAGCAATACAGATATAGATCTTTAGATTCCTTACCGTGGTGTGACTGGCATTTCCATCCTGTCCAAAATGACGTTCCACATAATTTAAGGACAACAGATGGCTGATAGGAGAAGAAAAAAGATAAAAGTTATATAAACACTTTCATCTATGTTTGAGATCAAATCTGCCTCATATTCTCCTGTTTTCCTAATCCATTCTTATAAAATTAACAGGATTGAGAACACCAAAACTTTTGTCATTTCTTTTTGTGACCGATTTGCCCACTTTCCTTTGCTCAATATAAATACTCTAAACTATCCTCTAGTTGACAATCACGGCACTTGTATGGGTGCATGTCATAAGAAATTTCTTGAATTACTATTGTGGCGGGGTCTTTATCATGCAAAGCATGAGCTACATTGTGAGCTCTCCAGACTGGCATGAACAATCTCTTGCTGTTGGTCTCCAATGATTTCCACATTGTCTTTCTTCTAAAATCTCTCAGCTTAGCTTCTGAATGCAGATCTTCTCTGCAAAGACTTGCATGAGAAGATTCCTTGGGTGAAAAAGAAAAGAAACTGAGCAAGGAACTAGAATTCATTATTTGGCAAATCTGATTTGGCAAATAACAAAGCTTGCCTTTCCTCAATACAGATGTGTTGATTTCATGATTGAAATCCACATATCTGTAGCATTCTACAAACATTCTTCCTGGATGCACTACTATTAGCAGCTATTAGTCCCTGGCAAATAGCCCTCCATATTTCCCTCAGTTCTATGGCCCCAGCAAATTCCAACACTGAAAATGAACATTGAGCTTTGCTCAGGTCATTTTTCAGGGCATCTGGACTCCTGGATAAAAGCAGGCACAGTCCAGGGGTGAAACTCAGTTACCTGACCAGCTCATTTACCATACCATATCTAGTTACAGACTAAGACTCATCATCAGCAACCTCATCTTACAGTGATCTAGTGCCTAACCCTGAACTTAATTTATTTGCAGGATGGAGCAGAAGAACAGATGAACAGAAATGTTTCCAGATGCCTTATTAAATATTAAAAGGCACTCATCTAATCACACCCTTCAAGTATAGTGCTTCAAACTATATTCACCCCAGATATATATTTAGACACAAATTTAGGAGCTAGTATGAAAAAAAGCCAAATACCTTTACAATATTGCACAGCTCATATAATAATAAATCACTGCATGAAAAAAAAATCTCTGGTTTCTCACAGCCACATACCTATTTAAATCCTATTTAAACTTGCAATATGTACATAGAAGCTCATATACTGATATACATTATGCACATAATCATATTTTCACGAGTCCCCTGAAGTTAGGTAGTTAGTAAATTTAAACGAATAATAATAAATGAACAAACACTGGAATCTGAGTGGAATTAATTATTACTATAATCACATGCACAAAATGAGAAATATGGTGTCAATCATAGTCAATAGTTTGCTTGCATTGTTTCACATTTCTGCACATGCACCCACAAATAAAAAACCTCTGACAAATACTGATGTAATACTGCAAAATAGTTTCTGAGATAGAGGGACTGAAATTTGACTACAACAGAAGCAGTAAAACTGTTTTTCATTGACAAGATATCTCTGGAAGTTATAAATAACAAGTGTAGAGTGTCACTAAGCAATTACAGAGTGACTTTCTTTCATTGTTATATAGTTATAACGTCTTCAAATTCACCAGAGGTGAAGGGTAAGGCATATGCAGGAGATGCATACTTGTACTTCAGTATTGAAACTCCTTTTTAGAAATTAAAAACAGTGTTGCCCCTTCCATATCTCAATATTTTAATTAGCACAAGAATTGTCAACATAAATAAATTAAAACAAATCTTTATTACAGGCAGAGATCAACATAATCAATGTATCTAGAAAATTCTCTGGAACTAGACATCTCCATTTCTTCTTTTTTTAACTGTGTTCAGTTATAAGTATGTTTCATAATTGTTTAATAAAAGCAGATGGGACAAAGCTAGTATAACTACAGTGGCCCTTTCCACTCATAACAAGCATTCAGTCTTATCACGCAAACATATGCATACCCACCTACATAAACAAACAGGAAGACAAGCACACCTTCTTACACATTTGCTGCCATCAGAAATACAAAATCAACACATTGTAACTTCTATCCTGTCACACACTCTGTTACAACCATATGTTAAGAAAAAGTATGCACCCACATCCATGCCTATGAATTTGCCTACTGCTACCTCAGATTTTGCCACTAAAGTAGCCATAAATTTCAGTTCTAACAACTCCCAGCCAAGATATCTGAGAATTAAAAGAGTGTTGGAAATCTACACACTGGAAGACACCACATTGGGAGATGCTGACATATGTGAGGACTCCCACGTTAAAAATTTCACACCTCCCATACTGCAATCCATCCATGAAATCTTGGTCTCTTCTTTTGGAGAGAAGAACATGGTGTATAATCTAAGCTAAAACATGGCTTATTCCATACACAGTTTTTTAAAACAAATACCTGAACTGAGATAACAGCATTGTTCAATCTCATTATTGCTATTAATTAACAAATTAAAACTATGATAATTGTATCATCTATTATTGCATTCTGAATGGTCACTATGAGATAAAGTCTGTAATAATTTGTCATATTTGTAGATAATTACAGATATTATCTACAAATCTGCCCGAAAAAGATATTACATTGTTCTATTATTTCTCTACTCATATATATGAAAATCTACTACTTGGCATAAATATCTTGCAGCTAATGAAAGTTTATAACTTCATATATTACTTCCTCTTTAAGGTATCATGGAATAAAATATTCAGAAACTTGTCCAAATGACCATTGTTCCATTATCTATCTATCCATCCATCCATTCATCCATCCATCCATCCACCCACCCACCCACCTACCCACCCATCCATTTATCTATCGTATCATGTTATTTGCAAATAACATAAAAGCTAACACAAACTAATAACTTTTTCAGCCCTCTGAGTAATCCATGTGCACAAAAGGACTACCCAGAGGGCTGAAAAAAGTGATTTCTGACAGGTCCTCGCACTTTTGACCGGTCTTCGCACTTATGACTGGTCATCATTTATGCCCATTGTAGCATTCTTAACAACCGTGTCACTCATTTCACAACTGCTTCTCTTCACCATGGTGACAAGATAGGGCAAAAATGTAAAATGTGAGGACAGTCGTAAGTTCAAGGATTGGTCAAAAGTGCGAGGACCAGTCAGAAATAACTTTTTCAGCCCTCTGAGTAGTCCATATGCATAAAAGGATACAGCAATAGAGAGGGATGAAGGAAGGGAAGGGAAATTAGAGTAGGAGTGAGGGTAAGAGAGGGAGGAAGAGAGAAGGAGAAAGGAAGAAGGAAAGAAAAGAGAGAGGTGGTAGGTTTGAGGAGAAAGATTGCTGTACAATAAAAAAGATGAAAGGGAAGAAAACCAATCCCAAACAAATATAAATATACAAATATACTTTCTTTGGTGAGGAAAAAGAAAAAGAAAAAGAAATCTCTCTCTGCCTCATTTTGTCATGTTGCAGCAAAGACCCTGCTTTACTTTCAGTTTCGCTTTTTCAGCATAGCTAGGGGAAAAAAACATTTGCTCTAGCAATTTACTTCTTTGCAGCTAGCTAGCAACAGAGCCCTCCGCAAAACAGCTGAGAGCAAATCAGCTGAGAGTCGGGAGGCTGATCAAATCAATTTATGGTAATTAACCTATGCTGAAGCTGAAAGGGGCTGTTTTTTCTATTTTTGCAGGCACCAGTCTACTCATTTGTTTTCTTTTAACACTGATCAGCTGTAGGGCAGTCCTTTGAAGCCCCTGGGCAAGAATTTAAACAGTTTTTTTCCCTCTAGCCATCAGCTGGGACTTAGCAATAGATTGGGAGTGGGCGGGATAAGCGAACTGGGACCAGCGATCCAACAGATGCAGAGGGTGAGGGTGAGTGAAAACCATATATTCCCTTCCCGTTCTCCCGCCATTCCCTAGCTTGTAGCATTCTTTCCAAAAATCAGGACTTTTTTAAAACGCCGCGGGACGCGGGACAAATTGTTATAAATCGGGACTGTCCCGCCAAAAGCAGGACGTCTGGTCACCTTAACATTAGATATAGTGGCAATAAATTATACAATTCATACAATTTGTATTGTATGAAGACATGCCTTCCTTTGTTTGTCCTGAATTTGTTACCAAATTTATTTTATAGTCTTAAAACATGCTTAAAGAGAAATCAATTCATTTTTTCTGTCAATAATCCTTATTTATTTCTATTTCTTTTCTAGATCTTTATATGAAAATTTTAATGAGACTATTGTGATTGAATAACTGGAGAACCATTTCGGTGTAATGCTAGCCTAGAAACTAGGAGACTATGAGTTCTAATCCTTCCTTAGCCATGAAAGTCAGTTGAGTGGGCCACTCATTCTCTCTCAGCCCAATCTACTTTACAGAGTTGCTGTTGTGGGGAAAATAGGAGGAAGAAGGAATGTTGGTACATTCGCTGCCTTGAGTTGTATATGAAAAAAAGATGGGATAAAAAATATTTTACATAGGATCACTCTCTAGATTTATACAATGATAGAATAGAGTAACAGATCTGGAAGGGACCTTGGAGGTCTTCTAGTCCAACCCTCTGCTTATACAAATTTCAGGCAAATGGTTGTCCAATCTTTTATTAAAAACTTCCAGTGTTGGAGCATTCACAACTTCTGAAGGCAAGTTGTTCCACTGATTAATTGTTCTAACTGTCAGGAAATTTCTCCTTAGTTCTAGGTTGCTTCCATCCATTGCTTCTTGTCCTGCCCTCAGGTGCTTTGGAGAATAGCTTGACCCCCTCGTTTTTGTGGCAACTCCTGAAATATTGGAACACTGCTATCATGTCACCCCTAGTCCTTCTTTTCATTAAAATAAACATATCCAATTCCAGCAACCATTCTTTATATGTTTTAGCTTCCAGTCCCCTAATCATCTTTGTTGCTCTTCTCTGCACTCTTTCTAGAGACTCAACATCTTTTTTACATTGTGGAGATCAAAACTTGATTCAGTATTCCAAGTGTGGCCTTACCAAGGCATTATAAAATGCTATTAACACTTCATGTGACCTTGATTCTATCCCTCTGTTAATGCAGCCTAGAACTGTATTGGCTTTTTTGGCAGCTGCAGCACACTGCTGGCTCATATTTAAATGATTGTCCACTATGACTCTAAGATCCCTCTCACAGTTACTATTATTGAGCAAAGTACTACCTATACTGTACCTGTGCATTCTGTTTTTCTTGCCTAAATGTAAAATCTTACTTTTTTCACCATTGAATTTCATTTTGTTAGATAGCCCCCAATGTTCAAGTCTGTCAAAATCCTTCTGTACCTTAAACCTATCTTCTGGAGTATTGGCTATTCCTGCCAGCTTGGTGTCGTCTGCAAATTTGATGAATTCCCCATCTATCCCTTTGTCCAAATCATTGATGAAGATGTTGGAGAGTACTGAGTCTAAAACAGAGCCTTGGGGTACCCTACTGCATACTTCCCTCCAAGTAGATGCAGCTCCATTGAGGCCTAGACAATGAATGTGGTTGGTCAGCCAGTTACGAATCCATCTGGTGGTGATGCTGTCAAACCCACATTTTTCTATCTTATCAAGTAGTAGGTTGTGGTCTACTTTATCAAATGCCTTATTGAAGTCCAAATAATTAAATCTACAGCATTCCTCTGGTCCACTAATTTTGTCACTTTGTCAAAAAATGCAATATGATTTGTCTGGCATGATCTATGTTTGACAAACCCATGTTAGCTTTTGGTAATTATTTTGTCACTAGGTGTTCACCAATCTAGGTTGCTTGATTGTCTTTTCCAGAATGGTAATTATTTATTTTTGTTTATTCAGTTCACACAGCTGAATATCTCACATGATTCTTCTTGAATCAGAATTTGAGAAACACAACAAAATAAATAAACAAATATAAATAGACCAGATTAAACTATTAAAAAATACATAACCTGCAGCATTTACAATAATTGTTTACTATTTTAATTCGATGAAAATTGTGGACAGTATACCTTTTGTTATCTTACTTAACTAATTGTTACACTGGACTTGTGGAATGCTAAATCGGAGTTTGATAACAATTTATTAAACATGCCACAATGGCTCGGTATACACATTATGATATAAACCATGATTTATAAATCACAACAGTTGGGACCACCTATATTTGAAACTCAAACCTAACAAATTACTTGTGGTTTAGCATGGTGTATTAACCCAAATTACTCAGTTTTCCATAACAGAGTCTATTTTGTCTGTGATCAGAGTCCATTAAAAAAAAAAAGATTTTGAGACAGATTTTGATTATGGCAGTGAAAAGATGCACTTTACAGAATGACAAGATTTCCTGATGTGATTCTGAGCAGACTGTCAGTCTGTCCACTATAAGTCCTGCTATCACATATAAACATAAAATACGCATATACTATCTAACCAGCATTATTTATTGTACTCTGATAGAAAATTTTAGGTATTTTTAAAACTGCTATTCAATATTCTTCATTCTTTTACATGAAAGCATTTTATTACATATGTTGAAAATATACACCCAATGTTCTCCATTGTACCATAAGAAGCAGTTTATCATAAAGAAGAATCCTAGTTTAGCATTGAGATGACACACATGGACAAGATTTCTTTCTTTTTTTAAAATGTGGACATCTTTTACTACTTCCTTATTTATTCTTTGTGATTTTCTACTTCCTCAAGATTTACAGTCCTATATATAATTTTGCTGAATATATTTCTTGGCTCCAATTATCAGAGAGGCTCCATCAACCACTCTTTCCCCCTTCCTTTATCACCCAATCAAAAAATGGAATCTTACATTTGAATCACAAGAACAATTATTTTGGCAGTAAATACTTACTGGTTCAGCTCAAGATCCAAAATGAAGGTTGAACCAAAGGCAGGGATGAGGAAACTCACTTGGGCCAGATGGATAACCTAAAAGAACAAAAACAAATTAAGGCAGAGCCTTCTTTGACTTTTGCCTTCATCTATAGTAATATTAAAAGGGATGTGGTGGCTCAGTGGCTAAGATGCTGAGCTTGTTGATTAAAAGGTCGGCAGTTCAGCAGTTCAAATCCCTAGTGCAGCATAATGGGGTGAGCTTCCGTTACTTGTCCCAGCTTCTGCCAACCTAGCAGTTCAAAAGCACGTAAAAAATGCAAGTAGAAAAATAGGGACCACCTTTGGTAAGAAGGTAACAGCTTTCCATGTGCCTTTGGCATTTATTCATGCCAGCCACATGACCACAGAGATGTCTTCGGACAGTACTGCTCCTTCGTCTTTAAAATAGAGATGAGCACCGCCCCCTAGAATCGGGAACAACTAGCACATAGATGCGAGCGGGAACCTATAGTAATATCAAATAAGCACTTATCCATTGCATATTATTGTAACAAGTTGTTCTGCAATACTGTTTATGCAACCAATTTTGTTTGATCACACATATTCCCTCTTAAACTTAACTCTCCTTTCCTTCCATTCCCTTCAGATGCATACAGCGAGAAATTAATCTGTTGCAACCATCATGTACAGAAGACAAAAGACACAGGTGCCTTTATAAAAATACAGAATATCTCATCACTGAATTTGAATTCACAACCATCATGTACCCAATACATCTGATACTAAAGAGAAGAATGTAGAACTAATATTTATTAGGAACCACCTTACTTGCTCAAAATAATTCTGCCTGTTCTGTGAGGTCATCTAAAGAAAGACTCCTTATGCTCCTGTTCCATTGCACAATAGGTGGGCAAGAAGCTGGACTCTACAGCAGTGGCCTCTCTGATGTACAATATGTGGCCCACAGAGATGATTGCTCCTGGCATTGAAAAGGCACTGAAGATCAATCTCAGCAGGATTTGCTGACTTGGGGTCATTGGGAACCATTTATGGTTTTGTTCTGATGTTACTTTGAGGGGTAAGAGCTGTGGTTTGGAGAACATTTCATGCTTAATGTTTTTACTTTGTCAACTGCCCAGAATTTATATGAGGGAGTGATATAAAAAATTTGAAGAGAGAGAGGGAGGGAAGGAGGAAAGAAGGAAAGATCCCATAGGACAGCTTTTCCTCAGATATGCCCTTCATTATGCGTGTTCAGTTCTGTCATACCCCAGCCTGAGGATGATCTAGGTCCTAGGAACAAGGAATCACTTGCTCTGGGGAAGCTGCAGTCCCAAGGGTTGATCTTGTGTGTCTGTACAGTAGGAAAAGATGGATCATGATGAAGCAAAGAAAAATGAATCTTGTCCTGGTTAAGATCACACCTTATCTTATAGCAAAGATGGCATGAGAGAACAGTCAGAAATTGCATGTCGCCCTGGTTAATTGTATGTTGGCCTGATTTCACAGGCTCAGGGAGCACATGTGAGAGTCAGAAGAATACACAGATCCAAGTTCTTCAAACTTTAGGACCCTGGAAAAAGGCGTTCCCACCTGTATCACCTCTGCAGTGGGAAAAATCTGGAGACCTCAAAACCCCAAAGATTAGCAAAAGGCATAACTCTGGTTTCTCAGGTGTAGACCTCCTGCTTCTGGAACCCCAAACAAGCTTGGAAAAAATAGAAATAGCAGAATAGTGAGATAAAACATTTCCTTCTTACTATTTAGGGGATAGCAGCCCCTCCCCCCAAAAATTAGCTTTTAGTACTGGTGGGCCTGAATTCCATGTTGCTAAACATGTTCCAGTTAATTCTGACTTATTATTTGCAGGATACTATACCCCAATACCAAACATTCCAAATTATTAACGTCTTGTTTGTTGCTTGTTTGATTGTTAAGCTATCCCCTTCTGTTGATAGGAATGTTTATGTTTAAAACAAAAGTTAAAGTCAAATTAACTTTAATTTGAGGTGTAACACCTCTCCTGCGCGAGCTGCACTGGCTGCCGGTGACGTTCCGGATTCGTTTCAAGGTGCTGGTGCTTACCTATAAAGTCCTTCATGGCTTAGGCCCGGGGTACTTGCAGGACCATCTCCAGCTGCTCTCCCACTGTCCCGTGCGCTCTCACAGAGTGGGCCTCCTCAGGGTGCCTTCAGCCAAACAATGTTGGCTGACGGCCCCCAGGAGGAGAGTGTTCTCTGTGGGAGCCCCAACCCTCTGGAATGATTTGCCCGCCGAGCTCAGGACAGCCCCCAACCTCCTTTCTTTCCATCGTGAGTTGAAGACGTGGCTTTTTCGTCAACTTAACTGATCTGCCATGGGTGTACAATGTTATAATTTTAAACTGTTTTAATTGGGTTGTTGATTTTAATTTTATTGTGATTTGTATTGGATATTGTTTTTGTAAGCTGCCCTGAGTCCCTTGGGAGAATGGCGGCATATAAATCGCAATAATTAATAAATAAATAAATAAATTATAAAGCAGCATAATGAAATCAAGCCAATTAAATCAATTCACAGTTAAAACTTGTTAAAACCAGCACTCCTCCCTGAGGAAAGCATTCAACAACTGGGAGCCCAATAGAAGAAGACTTTCTCTTGAGTAGCAGATATCTAACCATCTTGCAGTGGGATCACCTTCATAAAGCCTTTTATTGATCTAAGTAATCAGGCAAGTTCTATCCACAATGCAGAAAAAAAAATAGCCAAACCCTACGCTTGGCTTAGAGCTCAACTCAATGTTTTAGTGGAGCCAAGCAAAGCTTCTTCAGCTAATTTTGACTGAGTGTGATTCTGACTCCGATCTTGGACAGTACACATCTTTTTGCATGAAAGTTTCATTCAACAATCTTTGCTAACCAATGAGTAGCTATTCACTACTGCTCAGCTTTCAAATCCTGTTTGTACAACAAGCTTGGATAAGAGTCAACTCAAAACTACCTATCATATATTAAAAGATGAGAATAGGACTTCCCATCATCATCTGGTAAATCTCATGGGGTTTTTTTCCCCTTTGAATCTTAAAAGAACTCAAACGAAAGTGCAATACAGGTAGTTCCTGTTTAACAAATGCCCTATCCAGCAACCATTTGAAGTTATGACAGTGCTGAAAAATAACTTTACAACCAGTCCTTGCACTTAAAAGCATTGCAGCATCTGTGCACCCGAGATCTGGGCAGCTCACAATTGATGGGGCTTACAACCATCGCAGAGTCCCAAGGTCACGTGGCTATCACTTGCACACTTCACAGATGGCTTCCAAGAAGCAGAAACCATGCAAAAGCCAGTGGTAAATTGCAAGTTGCAACCATGTGATTTCTTGCTTAATGACAGCAGCGATTTGCTTAACTTAATAACATAATAACCACAACAAAAGTGAAGTCATGAGGCATTGAAGTTACATGATGTCTCGTTTAATGACTATGTCAGTTAATTATAGATTTGCTGATCCCAATTGTGGTTGTTAAGGAGGACTAACTGTATTTGAAAAACAGAATGATGCAATATTCTGGGAATGGATATTTAGCAACTTTTGATTAGAGAAAGAGTCACCATAATTTCCATTGCTAAGTGATGTGGTCATAAAGTGCAATGTCCATGACTGCACTGCATAGCAAGAGCAACCCCTGCAGTTCTGTTGCTGCAGTTAAATGAGGATCATATGTCATCAGGTAAGCACTTCTTTGCTACTTCCTGCCAGCTTCTAACAGCCAAAGTCGAAGTCCCAGAGGACTTGCAAGCAGACCAATAGGTAAGTAAGCAGTTGGGTGGGAGAGGGTGCACAAGTAGCCCAGTTGGCATGATATAAGCATAAAGAAGCTCAAGGAGGGTGCAAGGTGCAGAAGACTTACCAGAGCAACTTGCGATCTTCCCTGTCAGCTTCTCTACCAAGTTTGCTTGTGGGAAGCTGGCAGGAAAAAAGCCACAAATTGCAATCCATATGATTATATCAAGCTGCAACTATCGTAAATGTGGGCCGGCTTATGATCACATAACCACAGGGATGGAAGGATGGTCAGAATTTTGAGGACGAGTCATAAACTCCACTTGTTTAGTGCTATTGTAATTTGAACAGTTGCTGAACAATTGGCTGTTAACCCAGGACTACCTGCAGATAGATAATGAAACAATTCCTTCATTAGAATGTTATTTTTTATAGAAAATACAAATATGGCAATATAATTGATATAATTAGACTTCTGCACAACTGTGAATTTCATTAACATTTAAAAGCTAAAGGATAGTGGACATATGTGATTTCTGGATACCACAACCAATTTATATACAAGCCCAGTCTATCTCATTCCTTCCCTGGAACTACAGGAAACTACAGATCATTTGTTAGACACCCCAACACGTGGATCTTTAGGAAAGAGAAAGCTCAATGAATGAAGTTGAACTGAGTTGCTGCATCTGACCACCTGCAAGGACTAAATAAAGCAGGCACAAACTAACATTGACATAGAGTCAATATTATGATTATTTTTTCCAAAACATTTTTGCAAGATATAGAAGCCAGTATGAGTTCTGGTGTCAGATCAGAGAATGAATCAGTATTTACTGTATTCTATGCAGTAGAACAACTGAAACCCTGGATTGTAGGGATAGCTATTTGGCATCTGGATCTTTGCACCATTTTGCACTCTAGCACTCTGATTTTACTTTTGCTTGAACATTAATAAGACAAAATATCAATATCTAATGTGCTTATTGGAATATACTATAATTGGAAGATCTACAATGTAATGGCTTAGGGAACTGCACTTTGCAAATATGTACGGTATTTAGAACAGCAGTGTCTAGCCAAAGAAGATGTTTGCTTTCCTTCCAGCTTTTATTAGGTTTTTTTTTCCTTAAGTTTCTTCCACAGTCTGCATATACCTCAAACTTTTGTGTATATATTTCCCACACAATTCCCCGACGATGTTCATGTTCGTAAACATAGTTTCACACAGCTTGGTCAGGAAATGGAAACTGGCAGGAATTTGAGCAGAAACAAACAAGTAACACTTTTAGTCAACAACACACATATGTTCCTACTACACAAAGTTTGA